CAACAACTACCCGCTTTAGTATGTAGATTAGGAGGTTCAATGAGTATTTAACTTTATGTACTTTTCCAAATAAATGCACAGGTGATTCACACAACCAAATCACACGGCTCATTGATCAGTACAGTATATAGTACTCCAGCCTGCAGGACTGTAACCAAACCAAAAAATCATCAAACATTATATTCTTTCTATCAGAAATTTTCAGGTAATCGAGAAAGAAAGCTTAATATTTTAAAAAAGCAGACAATGCCGCGTGCAAATGATTAGATCGAGTAAAGAACACAGCAGTTTATATTCAAAAACACTATGAAAATACTCGTACCCTCAAGAGAATCAGACACCTTGACCTAGAAGTAGAATTCGATCAAACTTCAAGTCCAGAAATGTAAGTAACTGAATTTGTCAAATCCTCTACTTGTCTTGTGATCTGCGTACTGAGAAACACAATGAAAAGTAAAAACACAGCCAGATTTTTCTACTTACAAGCCTAGTTCGTTAGGCTTAATATTTCATTTCATCCGTCCTAAATTTTAGTATCTATAAAGTTGCAGAGATACTTTTCTTGACACCAGTATCAGAAATTTTGTTTATTAACGTGACGCCTCTGTATGGAAATTATGATGTGCCAAAGGTTTTAAGAATTCGTAACGATTGCAGCACTTAAGAAGGTTGAATTCTTGTGTTCGTCCGGAATCCAACAACGATGGCGAAGAGTATAGTACCATGTCAAACATCCAACCCACAAAAAACTCTCTATATAAGAGTTTAACGCCTACTGGATGATTACCTCTTTCTATTATTCTGGGAATTCCTGTTATACTGTCTAAGACTCTCTACCTTGACTACATTACATTAAATTAATTCTTTAAAATTATATGAAATCAAGAATCTATGACTGACATACTAATTAATCTTTAAAATTATAATTAGAATTCAAGAATCTTATTATATATTGATTTGTATTTTGTAGGTATGCCTGGGATAACTGCTTATGCTGGATTTTACGAGGTTGGTGCTCCTAAGAAAGGAGATTATGTGTTTGTTTCAGCAGCTTCTGGCGGAATAGGTCAAATTGTTGGGCAATTTGCAAAGTTGGCTGGTTGCTATGTTGTTGGGAGTGCTGGAAGTACGGAGAAAGTGAGTTCCTTGTGCATGCATGCATGCACCAAAACTAATCAAATATAGTTTTTTGGTTCTCATTCGCTCGAGTGAGAGTATTTTTGACTATTTACTGACAAAAAAAAAAAAAATAAATAAAATAACAACAACTTTTTAAAAAATCCTTCTTTGATTAGCTTAGTGTATAGGTGATTCCATACTTCCAATGTAGGCAAATCTTATCCGTATTATTTTTACTCGGTATCTCTCATTTCATTTTTTTCACTCTCCAAACAAATTACTTGATTGATCAGCTTTTTCACTTTGTTTTCTTTTATTATTTAAGGTTGATTTGTTGAAGAATAAATTTGGATTCGATGAGGCTTTCAATTATAACGAAGAAAAGGATTTGGATGCAGCTTTGAAAAGGTTAGCACTTAAATTAATTATGAGTATTTAATGAAATTGAAAAAACATCGTTTAATTACTAATAAATCAAATATTTCTTGACATGCAGGTATTTTCCTGAAGGCATCGACCTATATTTTGATATTGTTGGTGGAAAAATGCTCGACGCAGTTCTACTTAACATGAGATACAATGGACGGATTGTAATATGTGGAATATTATCACAAGAAAATTCAGAAAAACACGAAGGAATACACAACATTGTAGAACTTGTTCTGAAACATATTCGTATGGAAGGGTTTGTTGCGTCTGATTACTATCACCTCTTTCCAAAATACCTGGAAATGGTTGTGCCAATGAAACATATTCGTATGGAAGGGTTTGTTGCGTCTGATTACTATCACCTCTTTCCAAAATACCTGGAAATGGTTGTGCCAAACATAAAAGAAGGGAAGATTACTTACTTCGAAGATATTGCCAGTGGCCTTGAAAGCGGTCCAGCAGCTTTGGTTGGGCTCTTCACTAGACAGAATGTAGGAAAGCGAGTGGTTAAAATTGCTGGTAATGATTTGGGCTTTGCAAAATTCTTTGGCCGAGAAGGGTGTTGAAGCATCTAATAACTTTTTAGTTTGACTGTGATTGTCAGGCTGTTTCAATATTGTGTTTTGGAATTTTTTTTTTTTAATTTTCTTATCTCATGAAGAGATGAATCTAGGTTTTCCAGGTGTTTTTACTTAGCATTTTCGAGTTAGGTTGAAAGTATTCCGAGAACTTGATGGCTTAAGTTTAAAAACTTAAAAATATTAAATTTTTTCTAGATATAAATCAATGAAATAAATATATATATTGCTGATAAAAAAATTGCGGATAAATGATTATTCATTTCTGCAACTGCTTCAATTTAATTAGTAGCTAGATATTAGTATATGGATATGGTTAATAAGCTTTGTCAGTTCTACATTAAAACAACATTCAGATCAAATGTCAATTCGTTGTTGTATTTTGATTATTTCATTTAGTAATATCTTTTCTCACTTAAATTCTTGCGGTTTCTATCTCATTTAAATTTGTAAATGATTCAATTAAGAAATAATTCATGAATTAAATTCTTATAGTACAAATATTTTAGGTGGGCTCACCATAGTTAATAGAGCAATTGTGTAACAAAAGTCACATGTTTTTTTTTTTTTTTTAAGCGGTAGGAGATTCAACTCCAGATCTATTGTCGCATCGTATATATATTTATTACTGGGCTATGCTTTGATACGTGAAGTCACAATTATTGAATTCACATTATTGCAAAATGAAAATGTATAAAAATTATTTTTATGTTATATATTTATCAAAAATTCAGTTGAAACATAAAAGGAAAATAATGAATTAGTATGACCAATTAGAGGGATGTTTTGTAATTCATGCTAAAATGTGAGATCTTCTCAATTCAGCGATTTTTGAGATTCTTCTCAATCAGCGATTTTCATTCGGTTTTGGAGAGATTAAAAATTGGTGGGTCTGGGTGACATTTAAATAAGTTTCCATCAATTGTTTTTCCAATTTCCACAAAAATAAAGTAGAAAAGGAATAAGAATATTAATAATACATTTTGAAGATGGAAAGAAAAGTTTCTTGAAATTTACCTTTGTATATTCTAATAAAGCAGAGTAGTGCGCGGCTGCTCGCCATGCCGTCTCCAATGGAGTCAAGACAAATAACTGAAACAGAGCACATAGCAATGAAACAAAGGAAAATTTTCTAGTGAGAGGGAGCAGACAGGATGATGTATTATTATGTTAGGTTAATTTTGGATAAGGAGAGGTGAATGTATACCTTTATTCTTTATAACAGTAAACGGTATAACTTTTCATTGTTGTAACTTTTACCAACTCAATTGGTAAATTATTGAAGTAACTTTAAATTAGCGCAATGGTAAAAAGCACCCAAAAGGTTGAAAAATCCTTGAGCTATTAGATTTTAAGTCGCTCTCAGCGCTTCACAGGCGAGCTCCTGTGTCTCTTGATGCGAACGGAGAATATTTAAATTATTTGGACCATTAAACGGTATGGGCCTATAAAATGATTATTGGAATAACTTAAATATTGTAGATTAGAGTAAATTATTGTGTGTCACCAGAAACCTTTTCTTTTTTCTTTTTATTTTTTTTATTAATATTAGATGATGGGTGGTCTCATCTTTAGATTAAAAAAACCAAAACTTGTATGGTGACTCAATTGCCTTTATGAAGAAGACATGTTTATAGAACTCCACTAATAAAGGCGAAATTATGATGATTACTTTCATTTGGTGTTTTTTTTTTTTTTTTTTTTTTTTTTTTTTTTTTTTTATGAGCTGCCACTATTTACCACCTAATCCGGCTCTCGAAGTTTTAATTACAGTTAATTCTTCTCCTTTTCTATAAGTTAGATTTTAGTAGGAGATTTAACTCGATAACTCTTTTTTATATCCAATCTGTGTTGCCAAATGAGCCATAAACTATAGGTTTATCTGGTTCATATTTTTCTTGCTAATTCATGTGATAATGATCTTAGAAATAAAAGGAATAATCAATATATATGCTCCATTCCTTTCCAAAAAAAAAAAAAAAAAAAATATTAATTAGTATTTGTAAATATTAGCTCTCGTAAAACTTTACAGGTGATCAATCCGGTCAAAGCTTGGCCAGCCTAACCATGCCAAAATATGAATTATAGGAAGATGCGAATCACAATTATTGCAAAATGCAAATGCATATAAAAACTTATTTTATTATCAATTTATCAGAAATCAGTTGAAAAAAGAAAAATAATGAATATAGTATGACAACTAGAGGGATAGTTTTGTAATTTCATGCTAAAATGTGGAGATTCTTCTCGGTCGGCCATTTTCTTTCGGTTTTGGAGAGATTAAAAATTGGTGGGTCTGGGTGAAATTTAATATAGATTTTTTTTTTCCAATTTTATCTCTCATATTTCCAAGAGTAAGATAACTTTTTTTTTTTTTTTTTAAATTAAGAGTAAGATAACTTTTCATGATTATTTTCTTCTCATATTTTATTTTCTTCCCATGAATTTTATAATGGTCGTCCATTGGCAAGTGGCAATTTTAATTTTAGCCACTTGCATTTGAGACTAAGATCAAATCAATCAACGTCAGCACTCAGCCAACCAATGGACTTATTATATAATAATTTAACAATGCTTATCATTTTAATATTTTCCTCTAATAATTTTAAATTAAAATTATTAATACTAATCGTGTGATCTGATTAGTCTTCTCACGTATTATCAAAAATGTGTTGAATAAGAGATTTTGAGTTTAAGTTATCTCAACCATCAAATTATTACCAATTTATTCAATGTTATTCCGACCCATTGAATTTATTAGACTTCCGAAGTATTAAACTAAAATTATTAACCATTAATTTATATATAAGTATAAATTAAAATTCTTAATGATTAATAATAAAATAAAATACAAATTCTCCAAAAAAAAAAAAATGAAAATACAAACTCCTCTGTATTGAAGTAGTGTACTTTTAAATGCATTTTCATAACTAATGAACAAAAAAGCATTCATCCCAAACAAGTTATTATTCTTATTCTTCTCCTCCTTCAAGTATAGGCAGGCAGCCATAGCTGAATTTTATTATCAAGAAGCTCAATTAATAGTCATCATTCATCGGCAACTTTAACCACTTGCTTTCCCATATTACATCCTCTGAATTAACCACTTGCTTTCCCATATTACATCCTCTGAATACGCCAACCACAGCCGCCGGACCGCTTTCTATACCGGCGGCAATATCTTCAACATAAACAATCTTCCCTTCTTTTATTTTTGGTATTATCATTTCGTGGTACTTAGGAATTAGGTGCAGGTAATTGGCAACTAGAAATCCTTCCACGCGGAGGCTTTTGTAAACTATTTGCGTTAGATTTTTTACTCCATAAACCTCGTCTATCCACACATAACAATGCGTCCCCCAAATTTCATATTCAGCAGAACTGCTTCCAGCATCTTACCACCAACATTTTCAAAATATATATCGATTCCTTTAGGAAAATATCTGCATTTTTCCAACAATTGGGTTTGATTAATTCTTTGTAATGGTGTGTATTATGTTTCAATCTCAATAATAGAAAGAAGGAAGTACCTTTTCAAAGCTGCATCCTACCTTTTACAAAGCTGCATCAAGTCCTGTTCTTCATTGTAATTAAGTACCTTTTCAAAGCTGCATCCAAGTCCTGTTCTTCATTGTAATTGAAAGCCTCGTCGAATCCAAACTTGTTCTTCAACAAATCAACCTTAAAATGGACAAAGTAAAATCAGATAAAAGAAAAACATTACAGTCAAGGGAAGAAAAATCATCGAATGGAGCTCACTTTTTCTTTGCTTCCAGCACTTCCAACCACATAACAACCTGACAACTTTGCGAATTGGCCAACAAGCTGACCAACTGCACCAGAAGCTGCTGAAACGAACACATAATCTCCTTTCTTAGGAGCACCAACCTCATAAAAACCAGCATAAGCTGTTAACCCAGACATACCTACAAATTACAAATCCAAAATAAGAATCTGATTACTGGTTATGACGATATTAGAAAATCAAATTAACCCAAAAGAGAAAAAAAAATGGCATACCAAGAATTCCAGTGTAGTGGGAAAGAGGCACATCTGTGTGTTGAATTTTAAAGAGAAATGGCATTTGAATGAGACTATACTCTTCCCAAGTAGTCAATCCCCAAACCAAGTCACCTTTCTTGAAGTCTGGATGCCTAGATTCTACAACTTTAGCCACTCCTAGACCTTCTACAACCGAACCAGGCTTGAAAGGCTCCATAACAAATCCTTCCACTTTGGTTCGCATTCGCATTCCCATAGATGGATCACAAGACAAATACAGATTCTTGACAAGAACACCATTAGTTCCTTCTGGCACTTCAAGTTTGATCGTTTTAGTACTCAAAAACATGTCTGATTCTTTAGGGTAACCATTGGCGTAGTCTTTGAATATAACCTGTTTGTTGCTCACTATTTCTTCACTTGCGCTAGCCATCGCTGCTAAGTTTTCTGTCTAACTGTACAACATATACAAATTAGAAAAGAAAATTCTAAGCCATGTATATATCAGTTCGAAAATTTCAAAAAACCAAAAGAAAACCTATCATACCCCCGATCGAACCGAATTGAACTGAGCCAATTCTGTTCTTGATGAATTTCAATTTGGTTTCTTTCAAAGAAAGTATTAGTAAAGATTACCTTTGTATATTTCTTCCAAACTTAATTCTTCAATTGCAAAGATGGAAAACCAGACGAGAATGTGTGTCTATATATATAGATACACATCTGTATTATCTTATTTGAATTCCTAAGCAACAAGCTATATGCTTTTTGTTGACAATAATTTGATTGGTCTAATCATCCAGAAACTCTCCTCTCCAGAAACATCTACATAGCCATCAACTGAATTCAGAAATGTTTTTTTTTTTTGTTTTTCTAACCGGCGTATTAGACCATGATAGGCCTTTCACACCATCCTTGACTCTTCCCTTTTGAATAGTTTTTTCACCAATAAGTCGTATTTAACTTATTAATTATATGAACAACAATAGTAAGTTACCTTAAAAAATATATAGCTTATTATCGTTGAATGTTGGGATGAATGATACGATATTATTTTTTTTAAATGAAATTGAAGATTCAATTTTCGTGAATGAAATAATACTCACAGATAATATTTTATCCTTTAGTTAGCTATTTTGTCGGTAAAAATACTTTGCGAAGAATTTTAGGACAATAGCTGGATCCCATTTGAATTTTTTTATTGCAATAAAGCCATAGTCATAAGTATTATCATTATCTTATTCCATACATAATATTTTTTTTTTTTTTCATTTTTCTGGATAAATTATATAGTGAAGGAATAGACAAAAAGTACTATTGTTAGGTGCTACTTTAGTTTTGGATTTTCAGTCTTTGTATTTCCATTTACATTGTTGATCAATGTATTGTTTCTACTTTAAGTATGGGCCCCATATCTATAGGTGAATTTTATCAGCTGAATTCGGTCTATGTTCTTCAGATCAATTGCGGCCGAAAACGACACCGTATATTTTTTGTTGTGTCATTTTTCCAATTTCTTGATAGTGATTGAAAAGACCACACCGCATCAAGTTATTACTGTTTATTTTCCCAAGTTGTAAATAATGATCTCCATGTTCTTAATAGTCAGTCACAATAAAATAAATAAATAAACAAATAAAATTTTGAAATTTTGAAATATTAAAACAAATTATTTCCACTTTTTATTTGTTTTAATCTTAATGATAAAAGAAAATCTCCAACTTTTTTTAATTGTGACATTTTGTTTTAAATTTATATTTAGTCAATTTGATTTTTTACGGTACAAATTTAATTTCAAACATTACTTAAATATATATTAAAAATATTTTATTTTTATTATTAATTAGAAAGTCAAATGGTTAAATTGAGCCCTAGACTTATAAAATATTATTAATTTCAATTCTTAAATATCCATTTTAGAAAGTAAAGAAACACGAAAACCTCATAAGATTCAATACGTGCATATCGTATCTGTGCTGTATACCGACACCTTCGAATACATTCATACACGTGTCACATACTTTACAAAAGCGTTTCAATATTTTTTTAATTTCAAACACCTTATGAAAATTTCCAGTACATTCTTAAATATATAATGTCATTTACATATATTCATAGAATTCAAATGATAGATAATAATTTATATATTCCAGACCATAAAGCTAAATAATCCAAGTACAAATGGTTCAGCTTTGAGTTCCACTCCCTCATGCCATGGAGGTGCAGTTTATTGCAAGCAAGCATGGCACCAAACTTAAAATTTAGTGTTGGATACAATTTTCCATGAAAATAATATAATTAACAACGTGCATGAAAATTCAGTTAAAAAAAAAAAAAAAAGCATGAAATTCAGTTAAACAAAAAAAAAAAAAAAGGTAAACGACGTGCAAAGAAATGTTTCGTAAACAGGCTCTTCCATTTTTAAACTTTTTCACGAGCTTCAACCTATCCCTTTTACATTAACTTTACTACAGAATTTGAGGGTTGGAAACAATTGATTAAAAACCAGATCCATTGACGCAGAGTATAATTTAATGAGGTATATATATGTCTAAAAGATACAGTGGTTGGTTTGTGAAAGAAAAATTAAATTTTATGTCTAAAATATCTTTCAAAAGATAATCATTAATTATATATAGAACCTCCAATAAATTAAAATTGGAAAATTTATAGTGAAGTAAAGCTAATGAAAATAAAATAATTAACACCCATGTGATGCTATATCAGCAAAAACGTGCAGGGTTCCAATTAATATAATATGATTAGAGTTCTGAACTAATAGGTCGATATGAGTGGAAAAAACTCAGATTCCTTAAGCAAGAGTTTGAGTATTGAATCTTTGTGGCAGAGAAATCTCTTCGAACAGGATTAAATAAACTTAGTTCAACATACGAATATAATAAGATATGACAAATCTATAACAAATCATAAATGCACTTTTATTTTCGTTCGTGTAGTGGCAAGTCTATCCCCATAACCATTTAAGTAAGTGTCAATTTGCAGCAAATCAACCTATATCAACTTCATAATGGAAAACCAATTCCCTTCCTTCCCATTCCTTTTCACCTTCCTAGTATTTCTCTTCATGGTGTTAAGATTATGGCAGAAATCCAAAAACAACTCAGCTCTAAATCTACCACCAGGGCCATGGAAACTACCTCTAATTGGTAGCTTGCACCATTTATTTGGCTCAGTATTACCCCATACCCGCCTAAGAGACTTAGCCAATGAGTATGGACCTATTATGCACCTTCAGCTTGGCCAAGTGACAAACATTGTTCTTTCTTCACCTGAAACTGCTAAAGCAGTTTTGAAAACCCATGATCATATATTTACTCAAAGACCTTTTGTACTTGCAGCGGAGACTATGACTTATAATTTTACAAATCTTGCCAATGCACCCTATGGAGGGTATTGGAGACAAATACGAAAAATCTGCACGCTAGAAATGCTATCTGCCAAACGGGTGCGGTCATTTGGATTAATAAGAGAAGAAGAAGTATCAAAATTCATTAGAGATCTTTCTTCTAGTACTAGTGCTGGATCAACAGTCAACTTCAGCAGAATGTTCAGTTCTGTGACTTATAATATCATTCAAAGAGTAGCCATTGGTAAGATATCGAAAGGAGAAGATACAGTCTTTCCAGCTATCAGGAAACTGATAGAAGCTTTTGTAGGTTTTAATCTTTCTGACGCATACCCTTCAATCAAATTGCTTCACAAAATTAGTACTAAAAGGTTTAAACTAGAGAGAGCTCATAAAGAAGCAGATAAGATACTCCAAAACATTATTGATGAACATAGAGCTAGAAAGGCATCAGCAGCTAATTCTGAAGAAGAAGAAGATCTGGTAGATATCCTTTTGAATGCTCAGTGTCAAGAAGACCTTCAAATTACAGATGACAACATAAAAGCAATTATCCTGGTTGGTACATTTCTTCCTTCATTTTCTCTTTTCTAAAATAATGTTTTCACTTAAATTTCATGAAGTTTTTTCCAGGACGTCTTTTCTGGTGGTAATGACCCATCAGCTAACACTGTACTATGGGCGATGTCAGAACTGATAAGAAATCCAGAGGTGATGAAAAAAGCACAAACCGAGGTAAGACAAGTGTTTAGTGAAAAAGGATACGTTGAAGAAGAAAGCATCGGTGAATTATATTACTTAAAAGCAGTTGTCAAAGAAACTCTAAGATTACACCCTCCTGGTACATTTCTTGCAAGAGAATGTATGGAAGACTGCGTGATTAATGGTTATGACATTTCTGTAAAATCAATATTTGTTATAAACACATGGGCTCTTGGAAGACATCCTGATTACTGGCCTGAAGCTGAGAGATTCAATCCAGACAGATTCTTAAATTGTTCAATTGATTATAAAGGAAATAATTTTGAGTTTCTTCCATTTGGTGCCGGAAGAAGAATGTGTCCAGGAATATTATTTGGCATATCTAATGTTCAATTTCCGCTTGCCCGATTGCTGTATCATTTTGATTGGAAACTTCCTAATGGAATGCAGCCAGAAGATCTTGACATGAATGAGAAGTCCGGGCCTTGCAGTGACAAGGCAAAATGATCTCCAATTAATTCCCATTCCATACCAGAAGTAAAATTTCAATGGAGCTTTTCTTTATATGTTAGTTTGATCTTTGCCGATGAGCAGATCAGTAAATTTTAAATAAAATACCTTTTTATATATTTCCATCATTTTTTTGGCATTAAATTAGTTGATGGATGATGTCGTTTTAGTAGAATTAGAGGTAGAATACGACAATATTTCTTAATCACCAATCAATTAGTAACTTTTTTTTTTTTTTTTTTTTTTTTTTTTGAAAGAAATTCAATTAACCCTTAAGATCAAAAGTTGGACAGATCATTAATGAAAAAGATAAACAGAAAAACGACAAACGGTTCCCGTTGTTTTATGCCTGTGAATGGACGATTTTTTTTTTTTTTTTTTTTTTTTGTTGAAAGGAAATCAATTAGTAACTTTAAACAAAAAGTTGACAAACTATTGTTATGAAAAAGATAAACAAAAACGACAACCGGTCCCGTGTTTTATGCCTGTGATGAGGACGAAAATAAGGCAGGTGTTCACACACATCTCTAGTTCTCTACTGCTCGACAAACGAGTTAAAAGCTGGATTGACTAAAAAGCCACAGCCCCTACTCTGCTTCTCCAGTAAAGTTGGGGGTAAATATGTCATTTGATCCGGAAGCGCCCCAGGTTGCCACCGAGAGAGCTGAAAGCTTCGAAAATCCACCATGGAAATTAATTTTCATTCCTTAATTGCTACTACAACCAGTAAAGACTGAATTAATGGAGGCAAAATTGATCCTAACGGTATCTCTATTAATTTCTGGCACTTTGACTATAACGGCTGATTATATCAGACCTCCTCCTCGTGAAATCTTGCATTTCCCATGGAGTCCGAAACATTCTTCTCATCCCCAACAGGTAATATCACTAATTTTGTATCTAATCACTTACTTTCTACATTACAATTCTATTCTCTATTTCAATTTCATTGTTGTTTTAATATGATTTGATCTGGGTCATGCCTTTCTTCTGATGTTGATGGGTTGAGTTTTTGAATAAAAGAATGGTCTTCTATAATTTCTGATTTTGTTTGGTTGCAAATTTTTAAGTGGATTTCTTTCTTGTGCAAGTACAATAAGTAATTACTATTTATATAGTATTTGAATCCACTGTGATGACATTTCATTTGGGATTCCAGTTTGGACCAATTTTGTGCTGAATTTGGTATTTAACCACAAAAGCTTTTGTCTTGATATGAGATGCTTTTGTATCACAAATGTATACTGCAGGTGCACATCTCTTTGGCTGGAGACAAGTACATTCGAGTCTCATGGGTCACTGATGATAAATCTTCTCCAACAATTGTTGAATATGGAACTTCACCTGGAAGATATACTGCTATATCAGAAGGGGAGAGTACATCTTATAGTTATCTATTTTATAACTCTGGAAAGATACACCACACTGTCATTGGTCCATTGGAACCTAACACGGTGTACTTCTACCGATGTGGAGGGCAAGGTGCCGAGTTCCAGCTGAGGGCTCCTCCAGATCAGTTGCCAGTTACTTTTGCTGTGGCTGGAGATTTGGGCCAAACTGGCTGGACTAAATCAACTCTAGACCATATCGACCAGTGTAAATATGATGTGCATCTGCTCCCTGGAGACCTTTCTTATGCAGATTATATGCAGCACCGGTGGGACACATTTGGCGAGTTGGTTGAGCCTCTTGCTAGTGCAAGACCATGGATGGTGACAGAAGGGAACCATGAAAAGGAAAGCATACCTTTTTTTAAGGATGGGTTTGAATCCTATAATTCTAGATGGAAGATGCCCTTTGAGGAGAGCGGTTCCAGTTCAAATCTTTATTATTCTTTTGAAGTTGCAGGGGCTCATATTATCATGCTTGGTTCCTATACAGATTATGATGAATACTCGGATCAATATAACTGGCTAAAGGTTATTGAGATTCTCCTCTCTTTCAAATGTGCTTTCTTTTGTTTGCTGCAATAAATTGAAAATGTTAACAAAAATAAAAGGTAGAATAAATGGTCAGAGAATTCCATGCATCAAAAAAAGACCATCATTCATGAAAAGAAGAAAAATAATAACTCAATAGGTCTGTGATGTATTGACAAGATTTTAGTGGCTGTCTACCTAGATTGAGTATGAACTCCTACTTTCCTATTATTACCTTAGCGCATTCAGGAATAAAGTTGTTGGGGCCTGGGTGGTTTTCTTAGACCTGTTGTCTGGATGTAAACAGTCTTAAGCTTTTTAGTTGCTTAGATATATGAAATTATCCAAACTTCAATTGCCTTTGAAGTAGTGTCTCTGAAAGTTTTAGTCCATGAAATTCAATAGAGAAATCAACTCTTGACAATTTATCATCCATAACTTTGGATAGATTGCTGCATTGGAATTATTAGGTTAGAAAAACTCATGATTAGGAGTTAGACAGGCAGTGGAAGAGGTCTTTATTTGTAGAGTTGTATGGTCCTGAATTCTCTTTCTCTGTGTTAATGCTGAACACATTACAGATGTCTAGCAATATGTAACATGAGAAAGGATATCCTATTTGTATGCACTTAATCTGAAATAGATTTGAATTTCTGCCTTGAAAGATACTGACCTGGGATGAGCACCATTGTCTGAGAAGAGGTTGATTTGTATGAATCTCCTTAAAGATTGAACTAGAAACTTTTGAATTAGTATACATAAAACTGAATTGAGCATGGATAGAGAGGTTGGAGCATGTTTTTGTTTCTTTGTTTGCAATTTTCTGCCTCCTTCTAGTCTAAGACAACTTTAAGACACGAGGAGTGCACATATTAATTTCCATCACGAAATACAACCTTTAAGAGTTAATCCATCAGTCGTTAGGCTGTCCCTTTTTTTTCCTCCGGGGATACAAGTCTACATGTCTAAATTGTTCTCTCCTCCTTGAGTCAATTTCACAAGAAATAACAGCTCTTTCACATTAATGGATGTCTCTATTTTTCTTGATCTATAGGCTGATCTGGCTAAGGTAGATCGAAAGAAGACACCGTGGTTGCTTGTGCTATTCCATGTGCCATGGTATAACAGTAACCATGCTCATCAAGGTGAAGGGGATGGAATGATGGCAGCTATGGAGCCATTGCTTTATTCTGCTAGTGCAGATATAGTATTGACTGGGCATGTCCATGCTTATGAACGCACGGTATGGAACTGTATACTTTTAGTAGCACTTAAATTCATGGAACTTGATGTATAATATCTGGTGTTCTGTTTGACAGAAACGTGTAAAGAATGGAAACTTGGATCCATGTGGTCCTGTTCATATAACAATTGGAGATGGAGGAAACAGAGAAGGGTTAGCCCAAAAGTATGCCCTTAATTTTTACCTTGATTTTGCAAGTAGAATTCTCCCTCTTTTTTTTGAAGAAAATAAATGCAAGAAAACTTTATATAAAGATTCTCTGGTTATATCTGAATATAAATGGAAGAATGCTGAAAATTATGTTTTTCAAGTTACTGCATTGTTGCACTATATGCCCATACATGCCATGCTTGTCAAACCTCAAGCTAATGGAGATTGGATGGATTCTCATTTTTATATTGTCATATTCCAAATGATTGTTTGGATGTATGAGTTAGCTTTGTTCATTAGCTGGTTAAGACTCTTAGTGTCACATTAGAGACTTGGAATCAAATTCTAACTTACTAGGATGGTGAAGGACTGGTCAGAATAAGTAAATAGATTTCAAAGGAATATGTGAATTTAAGAGTAAGATAGTAACTCATATTACATCATTGAGATATTTTGGTGTCAAATACAGTTATAGTAAATTAGGCTTGCACTTGTATAAGCTACAGATGGGATAGGTGACAAATAAGTCATGCAAAATAGTTACTTCACCGTGTGTTAGTGACCAGTGCATGTTAATGGGATTCCCTTTTATCTAATGTGTTTTTACTTTTTCCATCAAATAAACTTCAGTTTAATGAGGTTTTACATTTACTCACAGATACATGAACCCACAGCCAGAGTGGTCAGTCTTCCGTGAGGCAAGTTTTGGCCATGGTGAACTGAAATTGGTGAATTCAACCCATGCCTACTGGACCTGGCACAGGAATGATGATGATGAACCTGTTCGGTCTGATCAGGTTTGGATAACCTCTTTGGTCAGCTCAGGATGTGTTGCTGAAAAGACACACGAGCTAAGGAAGATACTCATGGGACCTTAGAATAGCTGCATTCCCAATTCGCACTTTGCTAAATCTAGAAGAGCGCTTTGCTAAATGTAGAAGAGTTCACGCTACGGGATTATGGAGATCAATGTAAATATTTTATATGGCTATTACCTATATAATAGTTGATGCTGGAATTGGTAGACTGCTTATGCCATGTCAATTAAATTTCTTGTATTGTATGCCACCCAATTAGACAATTGAGCTTTCAATTTCAGTGCATGCATGCATGCCTAGAAGTAATCTGTATTAAGGTATGCTAGCCTGTCTTTTTATGAGCGCCTTGTGTTTTTAGTAGAATGATTTCAAATTGGCAAAAAACTTGCATCTAATTTGATATGAAATATGGAATGTTTCCTCGTTTCTTCGTTTTCGGGCAACATAGATGAGCATCAAGTACAACTTGGAAAAAAAAGAACACTCTGGCATAACCTCAAGCGTCTTAGGATAAAGATTTTTACAAATTTGTATCAATGCGGCATACGACATTGTACCAATAAAAGGACACCGAGTCTTTCATGGTAGTAAGGAACTTCCCAAGGCAGGCTCAATGATACTAACCAAATTTATAGTTTAAATAGCAATTAGCTCAAGGAGAGAATACGACATAAAGCTGAGTAGTACTGAGGAAACATCACAGAAAAAAACGGGACTGAGTGAACAGGCTGGAATCGTTGTTTTCTTATTAAGTGAAAATCACATCAAATACAAATCTTATCACCTCTACAAACTATTAGACACATGAACCGCATCAGTAAATGCCCTTCACAAAACTAAAAATTAACAACTTCGTTAACAACCCTATTACAATGGTGCTATGTTCTGGCCATTAGAACTAATCCCTCCCAATTTCTCCAAGTATCGAGCAATAACCAGACTCAGGCATTTTGAAATTCTATACATTTGTTAACAAATAGTCATGACAAGGGTTAGTTTTGCGAGGAAGGATTGGGTTGCCAAACAACAGGTTATTCACCAAATTTAAGAACTCCAAGCTGCAGCCAACTCAAAATTTGCCAAGAAGCAATGCCACCTTGCAAATGCTATAACTCCTAAAGCTGCCATCAAGCAGTGATGGTTCTTATTCCTCATCTCTCTTGCCCTTCCACAGTATAATCTGCTCATCCTTGAATAAAATAGGAACACATGGTACCAAATCCTGCATTTGTAGTAACAAAAGGGAAGTGATAGCAAGTAATTCTACAACAAAGTTGCATAAGAAATTCCTTTATTAGCTTAATAATATCAAAACTCAGTTTTATTGTGCCATACCCTTAGCTTCACACCAATCTTTTTGCAATCACTGGTGCCAACATGGGTGCAATCTAGCCTCACTACCTCCTCAGCCCTGAGGGCTTCTCGCACTCTCTCCACTACATTTACATACACACCATTCCTGGCTGAACACAAATGGTGTCATTCACAAATTCCACTTGTCAATTACCTTTAATTGTTATCATTGAACAAGGCAAGCAGCAAGTTATACACACCGAGGAAATATAATCAACTTACTAAGTTTCATTAGAGCAGGAGAATTGAGTCCTCTATTTCTCATTTCTTTTGTTTCTTCAAATGTCAGGCCATCAGCTACATTCTTGACAAGCTTTGGGTATATGGGTGCATAAGGCTTCCACAACATTACAGGTATAACAGTCCGGCTCTTTGGATCATAGTTTCGACCTCGGTATAAAAGCAGTATATTAATATGCCGGTAGATGATCTTCCCACCAGATTTGTCCTACAGAGCCACTAACAGCTGCATCAGCTAATAATCTCCGAAAATTTAGAAAAAAAAAAAAAAAAAAAATTTACCCCATCAGCTACATTCTTGACATAGCTTGGGTATATGGGGATGCATAAGGCTTCCAACCCGAAATTACAGTATAACCAGTCCGAGCCTCTTGGGATTCATAGTTCGAACCTCGGTATCAAGAAGCAAGATATTTAATATGCCGGTTAGAATGATCTTCCCACCAATTTGTCCCTACAGAGCTCACTAACAGCTGCATCAGCTAAGAATCTCGAAATTAGAAAAAAAAAAAAAAAAAATAAATTAAAAAAAAAAAAAAAAAAAAAAATTTACCCGTAGATACTTTATTAAAGCCACACCTCAAGATGGAAGCAGACATTGTCCATATCAAGGGTAGGCACTCCCAAGCACTTGATTCTCACAGCTTCTGCTCTCTTCCAGTGATTGTGGATATCATCCAACATGTTGTGAGTGACTCCCCCCTTCCCTAACATAAAATAAACGGACAATCCACTAAGAAACAACCTGGTCTGGCCGTCATGGGAACATTTTGTTTAAACTGGTTTTCCATCTCCAAGAATAAGACATGGGAAGGTTCAATCACCTATATAGTCTATAAACAAGTTGCTGAAGCTGTATATGGAAGTTCAAAACTATCCATGACAGCTGAACATTTGAATTCAAGTACTTGTACAAACAAATTCAGAAAACGACACCATATCCAAAAACAGAGAATAAAATCCATGACAACTAATTTACAGTACCAACTCTTTCTAGGCGATAACGGGATTATACTGTCTAATGATAAAATATATCCCACTGTTATGCAAGTATATAGTATATTTTCAGACAATAATTACCTAGATTAATTTGCCTGGAACAATCGCTGTGCCGATACCGCTCAACCAGGTACTCCGCCTCCTCCTCGGTGAGCGGGTCCCCAAGAACCCGATTCCTCTCTTCCATTATCTTCTCCATATCTACCTCTGCTTGAAACGGAGCAGCAGTCCCCGTCCATTTCCGATCAAGCCGACCCGGCCCGAATGGCGAAAACCGTTTTGGTTCACGATACCCAATTGGCTCAACACCCGGGTTGGACTCTGAGTAGGAGTATCTAAAGTCAAAAGGAAGATCGGATTTTTGAGGGAGTTTCGGGTCCTTATTCGGATTTTCCTTTGTCTGCGGACCTTCCTTTGTTGTCTTTTTGGGTTTGCAAGCGAGAGTGAATGGAGGATCATAAGGGTCTTGAGAGAGTGTCTGGCTCAAGAAACGAAAGAAATAAATGAATGGAGAATATTTCGGGTTTTTGGTTGGGGCTTTGAGAGGCCATGAGAGAACCTTTACAAGCATTTGCTTCTACACGATGACAGAGGAAACAACACCTATGAATTCTAAAGATTAATGCATGATAATCAGCTTGTAGTAACTAGTAAAGGGTAAAATTGTAATTAAATAACATGTTCTTTCCTCAATCTCTCATCTTTGCACCGCCTCTGATCTCCTACCATGGACTCGAAAACATCCAAAAGACTATCCAAACCTTCAGGATTATCCCCAACTGCCTTCAAAGCATAAACAATGCTTTCAATGCTAGACAAACAACCAGCTTTTGGCTGACTCCTAACCTCACTATACAAGCTCAGTTTATCCAAATTCAACTTCAAATGTGGCAAAATCCTTAACCATGGATTTTCCATATACATCCTCTTTGCCTTTGCCCATGTCCCATCTAAAACAATTAAATTCTTTACCCCAATGTTCATTTCTTGTAATAGCTCATCAACTCCCACTGCTTTTTCGCTAGGAAATAGAAGTACTGATCCAGAAGGAATTACAAGCTCAAATTCCTCATATTCTTCCATATCTGTGCTGCTACCATTTGATTGCTTTCTCTGCAACTTTTTTACAATAAACCCTTTTTCCAAATCGTTAATAGCTCCTTTAGAGGCTAAAATTTGATCAAAGTTTGAATTTTCTTGTGGATGGACTTGAGGCTTCCATTTCCATATACTTTCAAGCTCATTCATTTCTCCACATTTGCCAATAGTAGCAAAGATGACTGGTTCTTCATCAGAATATCCTTTTCCCATATTTACTGCAACTGAACAGGAACCATCAATGTCCTCAATTTTTCTTTTCTGATTTTCTTTTCTATCCAAAACTCCATCAAGATTCAAACTTTCCCATCCACCCGAATTCGATTCCAATAACCGGATAATGAAACTGGCATCGAAATTAACATCGGAAACTGTAACGACATTGACATTTCTAAGCCCTAGTTTTGCTATCCTAACAGAATTAAGAGGGTGTTTTCTTTCTAAACTGTGTTGAAGAACGGTTACACTTACCTTGTTATCAAGACCCGGGTTTTGGATCCGAGTGCAGAGGCAGAGACGGTATGGTTTGGAGCAAGATGGGCAAGTAGGTCGCTTGGAATTAGATTGGCAAACTGCCATTGTTATGGTTTTAGGAGGGTGTGAGCTCTGGTAATTGAGGAGATTGAGGAACGAACTGAGCGGGTTGTTTCGGGTCGGTAATCGGATCCATGCCATGGGGTTCAAATAATGGCCATTATTAGCATCACAAGATCTATAAGCCCGTTAACGCTAACCGTCGTCGTTTTCATCGACGAGGATATGTATAATGTATGTGTCTGGCACACTCTGGTTATAAATTGTCCCACGTGGCATCGCATTTCAGTGTTCCAACTCTTAAAACGGCGGCGCTTTAATCAGGACACATAGGTCATTTTACGGTTGTGAAAGGGTAAATGAGTGAATAAAACAAAAAAATATCGAATTTTTGTTTAAAAAGGAAAAAGTTGACCAACGGAATTCCACGCGCCACCACTGTAGAGCTGAGAAAGCTTCGTCCTTTAAAATTCCTTCGCAGAAACCCAATAAGTAGAGAAGTTTTTTTTTGTTTGATCTGTAGAACCCAATTCTACTTTTCCAAATCAGAGAGAGAGAGAGAAGAAGTGCAAACAAAGGAAGAAAAATGCACGATTTCTGCTTCACGATCCCGTACGGGCTAATTCTGGTGGCAGGAGGAGTCATTGGCTATTTGAAGAAAGGGAGCATGGCATCATTAGCTGGGGGAGTGGGCACTGGATTGCTTCTTATCTTGGCTGGGTATTTGAGTCTCAAGGCTTTTGAGAAGAGAAAGAACTCATATTTCGCTTTGGCCATCGAAACCGGTACAATTAATCTCACTTTCTTGTGTTTTTGTTTGGTTAATTTTCTTGGTTTAGAAAGTCTTCTCTTTTTGTGGATATTATGTTTATTGGTTATAGATCCTAGTGCAACGCTTCGGTGGAATTATATGGGAAAAATGGATAATTCATATAACATTAGCTTTGCCTGTTGGAATTTGCATGGACAAGGTCTAAGAGAAAAATAAATTTTGACGTATTTATAAGTTGGAACGAGTTGAAAGATTGAGATTTAATGGCCACCTGGCCTGTGGACACCTGAAGGTGATTGTTCTTTCTTTGTCAAAATGAAGGAAATTAATGCTGAAGTAGCTAAATGATATAGGTAGTTTATATTAGATCTCTTTTGATTTGTGATATCCTATCTCATGTTTAGACATGTGCTCAGCTCCATGTAGTGGGAGTCATTTGGGTCGTTAAATGTTGTTGATGAACGCAGATGTCTGCGTAGAGGTTATATTTCCAAGTTTCGTTGTTTAACTTTGTTTTCGTCTGGTGATATCATGATAGGTTCTTTATTATCAAGAGAGGCTCGTTGTAAGTAATGAGGAAAAGACATTGATTATTTTTCATCAACTCACTTTATTGGGCTTAGCTAACGTTGTTAGTAAGCTTATTGCTTTTTGTTTGAGGGATAGAGGAGTAAGAAAAGAGTTAGGGCAGCATAGGCAGCATGGATAATTTAAACTGCACAAGACAAAAATTCATTAACAAAATCCGATAGGGTTTTCAGTTAAATAGTGCTTGGATTCTCCCTTTATTTTTAATGCCCTTAAAATATGTGGCTTTTCCTGTAAGAAGATAAGATAGCAGTAGAACTGCTTTGTGTCTTATTTCTAGTTTTGTAGCTTGTCCTTGATGTCATTATTGGTTAACTTTGCTGAGGGAGTAATGACATTTCTAGAAGAAAATATCATTTTTTTTTACCTTTAATTGCATTTATCATGTTTTTAGCTCACTGCAAGTATTGCTTGAGCTTCACTTTGAAATTCATTATGATTCCTGTGCTTTTGGAACAGTTTGTGCGGCAGTACTGACATTTGTGATGGGACAGCGTTACATGCAAACGTCGAAGATTATGCCTGCTGGTATTATTGCTGTGATAAGGTGATGCAAATCATACTCTTTTTGCGCTTCTTGAGCATTGCTCTGTTCAGTGTAGGTTTACCTGTAGTATCCGGACTCATCTATTGTCTGCAATTATCATTGGATTACTGCTGAAGATTCATAAAGTTTCTGCATAAGAGACTAGTCAATAAGGTATTAGGAATGCTCACTTAGTGTGAATGACCCATCTGTTTGTCAAATTGCAAAATTTAGTCACAAACTCAAACAAGCAAAAAGAAGGGGGAATTATAGTTCAAGCCAGCTGCCCATCCCTGCACCAAAGGGTCTGATTACACCAACTTAAAAAACATGAATGTTGTGGGTTTCAATAGCCAAACAGATCTCATAGCAAGGTTCATCGAATCAGTTGTCTAAAATAAGGATCTACAAACAGAAAAATCTTTGACCCATTATGTTATTTTGTGTATGCTGCATTTGATAAGAAGTATTGTTTTCTTAGTTAGTTTCAGTCATTTTGTAGCAATTGTTGTTAAATGTTCATCTCTGATCTATCATTACAAACCAGTTGGAAGTAATTGCTGCTATTAGAGCATTGAAATGGCAACAGAGAACAGCAAGATGGCCTGATAGAATTAATAAGTAAATCCAAAAGATAAAATAAGAGAGTCTTGGGAGGCCCTCTGTGGATAGGACGAGACACTGGTTGTTAAGGATTGTGTTCTTTATCTGGGGTTTATGTACGTGATCCGTTTGAAGATGATTGGCTTGACTAGATTATAAAATCACATACAAGAACTCTAGATTTCTTTCAGGCATGATAATGCTAGCAATTGCAATCTTGACTACTGATTCTATTTTATCATCTGATAGTACAAGAACATGCCTCTAGATTTCCATTTCAATCTTTATTTATGAGCTTTTAACTTTAATGTTTTCTTGCAGTTCTCTCATGACTTTGTTTTATGTGTACAAAATTGCAACTGGCGGCAACCACATTCCATCCAAGGCTGAGTGATATAGCATTGAGGAATTGCATACCACTAATTTCACAAGATCAAATGTATTGAAACACAGAAATTCAGATGTTTGTATTTGGAAAATTTTAATTCCTTGAACAAATTTGTACCAACATTTATGTCCTTACTAGTTTTGTGTATGGAACCAACACTACATTGTTTGTCTCCCTGAAAGTAAATGACAGTGGAAATCTGATCTTTCCTGGGTTTTATAACCCACATTATGCTCAAAAAAGTATATTCCTTTCCTTTCATTTTTCGATTTATTTCACTTTTATTTTTGATGGATGCTTAAAAGTTTAATAAAATATTTGTTGGAGTTTGAAATTACAATATATAATACCTTTTAATGTAAGAATCTACATGTTAATAATTCTTGTCACAGTTGCGATTATTGAGTTTCTATTCGGCAAGAGCGATTGCTATTATTTTAATATCAAATCATATGACGTGAGAGGATGGACAATTTTGTAATTTCAGTTATTTCCCGAATAAGAGAAAAAGACACTAGGGAATCTTCATTGAAAATGAAAATAATTGAAAGTGACGATAAAGGCAGATCCTGCAGGAACAAGAAATCACATTTTACTTTTCATAATTCTATAATTTATTAAAAATCATATTTCCTATTAAAAAAATTATTATTCATAGGAGGTGAATGGCTTAAAAAATATTATAAGCCGCGTAACAGAGACTAACCCTCTACTTTCAAATAATATTTGCCAAATAATAAATTATATATTTCTAACTATAAGCATTTTTTTTTAAAAAAAAAAGGAAAATACAAATTCGTATTACCCATTATGATAATTGTTTAACAATAACAAAATTTTATACATTTATAGCAAGCCAACATTATTTAATTTGATTGGTTAAAAGTAAAAATAATTTAATTTTAATTGGTCATATTAATTTTATATCTAAATGTAAATTGTATTTAATAAAATAAGAAATTATATTATGTAGTATATATTAAATATGGTAATACTATTCGGTTCAAGTTTTCTTATATCATGGTTTTGAAATCGAAATGATATAATATAATATTAAATAAACTATATAACGTATATATTAAAAATTATATATATGGTAATAGAAAATTATATATAAAAATTAAATTTCATTTATTTGCGGTTAGTAAAAACAACAAGTACAAACAACATCTAGTAATACTGCGTGCATATCTTTTAAAAGTCTAGTGGTATAGTTTCTCCCAAAAAAAAAAAAAAAGGTTCATTTATTTGCGGTTAGTATACTAAAACACAACAAGTTACAACAACATCTAGTAATACTTGCGTGCATATCTTTTAAAAGTCTAGTGGTATAGTTCTCCCAAAAAAAAAAAAATGGTCTATTCCCAAAAAAAAAAAAAAAAGGTCTATTGGTATAGCAACCTAGAAATAGAATCCTGTAATATTTTAAATCTTTTTTTTCTGTTCTGAAACCCATATATGGCATATTGTTTTGCTCAAAGAAGAGAGATTCCAAACCAAAATGCAACAAAACTACACAAAACTATTAGTTTTCAACTCTCACTATATATCCCGTCATACATAACATCCAACTCCATAGGCAGTTAAGCATAGCTTCACCTCCAGCTTCCTCTCTTTCATAATATCCAGAATTAATTGAAAAACTATGAATACCCTTTTCACCATTTTCATTTTCCTAATACCCATTTTCCTTTTCCTTGCTAAAAAAAGAATCTCATCATCAAAGGATTTGAAACTTCCTCCAGGCTCATTAGGAATTCCCATAATAGGCCAAAGCCTAAGTCTTCTTCAAAACATGAGAGCAAATACAGCTGAAAAATGGATTGAAAAAAGAATACAAAAATATGGTCCAATATCGAAGCTAAGTCTTTTTGGGAAGCCAACAGTGTTCATGTATGGACAGGCTGCAAATAAATTTGTGTTTACTAGTGACAGTAGCACCTTGAGTAACAGTCAAACACAGTCTGTTAAGATGATTTTGGGGGAGAAATGCTTGTTGGAACTGAGTGGTAAAGATCATAAGAGAGTAAGAGAGGCTCTTATGTCATTTTTGAAGCCCGAGTCTTTGAAGCAGTATGTGGGGAAAATAGATGAGGAAGTGAGGATGCATATTCTCAAGAATTGGCAACGCAAGCAGGAAGTTCAGGTATGCACATGATTATACAGCTTATAATTATAATTTATATATTAACCACATGAATGAAATTATGGCCTTGAGCTTCTTGAATTCTGGATAGGTCTTACCCTTGATGAAGACACTCACATTCAACATAATTTGCTCTCTTCTATTTGGGATTGAAAGAGGAAGTAGAAGAGATAAACTAGTGGATTTGTTCCAAGAAATGATAAAAGGAATGTGGTCAATCCCAATAAACTTGCCCTTCACACGCTACAACAGCAGCCTCAAAGCAAGCACAAGCGTCAGAAACATGTTAAAAGACCTGATAAGTGAAAAGAGAATGCAACTTGAGGAACAGACTGCTAATTCTCACCAAGATCTCATAACTTGCTTGCTCAGTATCAGCAATCAAAACAATGGAGAAGCAATTACAGAGAAGGAGATTGTGGATAATAGCATGCTAGTTATGACTGCTGGTCATGACACTTCCTCTGTTGTGGTCACTTTTTTAGTCAGGCTTTTAGCTAATGACCCTTCTGTTTATGCAGCTGTTCTTGAAGGTATTTGCTTACATATCTCTCAACTATAGTCTCCCTTTTTAACTCTTCTACTGCAGTAAGTGTCTTTAACGGAACTTGCCATTAAAACTAAGGACCCACTTTTTTTTTTTTTTTTTTTTTTTTTTTTTTGTCCACTGGTTAATTTTAATATTAATTCGTCTTTCACTTTCAGCTGTGATATGCCACCCAAGGACTGAATATGCATTGTTGGGGATGCAAGAACAGAAGAGATATTTTTTTTTTTTTTTTTTTTTTTTTTTTGTCCACTGGTAATTTTAATATAATTCTCTTTCACTTTCAAGCTGTGATATGCACACAAGGGACTGAAATATGCATTGCTTTGGGGATGCAGAACAGGAAGAGATAGCTAAGAGCAAGAGCAAGGGAGAGTTCTTAACCTGGGAAGATCTTACCAAGATGAAGTACACTTGGAGAGTAGCTCAGGAGACAATGAGAATATTCCCTCCTATCTTTGGTGGTTTCAGGAAAGTTGTAAAAGATATAGAGTACGATGGATACCTTATTCCTAAAGGGTGGCAAGTAAGTGAGAGTCTCAGTTATCTTCTTTTAAGTAAATCAAAATCAACCGTAAACATTTACTGACAATTCTTCCTTTCATATATAGATATTCTGGGTTACAAGCATGACACAAATGGATGACAGCATATTCCAGAAGCCGCAGAAGTTTGATCCAGCAAGATTTGAGAACCCATCTTCGATTCCACCCTATTGCTATGTTCCGTTCGGAGGAGGTCCTCGGATTTGTCCAGGATACGAGTTTGCAAAGATCGAAACGCTAGTTACAATCCATTATCTGGTCACTCAATTTACATGGAAGTTGTCTGCTGACAACTTCTTCAGAAGAGATCCAATGCCAGTTCCAACAAAAGGATTACCCATCCAGATCACCCCAAAGCATCAAATCTTGTAATTGTCGCATCCTTCTGATTGATGCATGTGGTATCTGATAGGAAGGCCAGAAGAAAAGACCTGTTGTCACCAGCAGAATGTATGTTGCTTATTATATAGGAATCTGATTAAAGGAACTTCGAAGCAAATCCAAGAATAAAAGCTAGTGGCAAAACACCAGACTAGTTAAGCTGAATATGAAACACTTCGACTATACAAAATTAATGAATTAAAGAGTATAGTTCTGTCTAGATAACACTTGATGTTTTCACTACCTTCACACACTATACTTTTAACATCTATGCTCTCCAATTCTACAGTATCATTTACCATATTTACAACAAACAACCTTAGCCAACCGCGCAATTTGGCAGCTTCCGTATGTGGTATCATGGAACATGGTACAACAGCCGAACCTCCAATAAAATCCACCATCATATAACATCTTCAAGAAGTTAAAGCTGTTTAGCAATTTTGTGGCCTAAAGTATTTTGGGGGCAGGGATGGACACATTTCATTCATATGGGGATAAGGATCTATGGTGTTGTAGTCTGGTAGCTCCATTCGATACTTGCCTCGAATCTGACAAAAGGGAAGCTTCACATCATCCCCGTCATTGCACCACTTTGGAAGGCGACTTGAGTTGTTTTCGAAAAATCTAAGTGTATAGGCATCTTTAATCTGCATTTTCAGCAATAAACAGATTAGCATGTATATTATAAACAAATTTAAGGAACTTCAAAACCAAATTAAAAGCAATGTCACATTTAGAACAAATATCAATACGACTACTGAAGATTTAAATGCATTCTCAAATAGAGACAAGTTATTTAAATCGAACCTGATGATGAAAGTAAATGTTGTATATTCTGTAGTACGAAATAAGTAGATAACTATCACTATTCAAATATTTATTTACATAAACCAACTCCATGAATAAATTTGTAATTTAGCACTAGAAACCATAAATAATCATTCCAGCGAACAAAGAAAAAGTAAAAATAAATGTTTCTTGTGTCCTTTCCAGTGTTTGAAGTTCTACAAGCATTGAAGTGGAACTTCAGTACATGCATGTATATGTGAGTATATTATATGCATTTATCGGCTAAAGGAATTCAACAAAACAAAACAATAAATACCAATTTCTTTATTCAGACCAAACAACTACTTTATCGTTTGTAAAAGACTAACCGTAAACTCTGTCACTTGTACAGAGCTAGCAATTGGATCAAATAGTCCTGCTTCCTTGTACATCTCGAGAACGAAAGCAATACATGAAGTCGACTTCCCATCAGTATACATCCAATCATCCTGTTCAGGAATTGTCAACAGTTCGCCGAAGGATGATCCACGCTTTTCAGTTTCCACTAAGATATCAGGAAGAGCAAGGCCCTACATGAAGCACAAATTTTGTTAGTTGTTGAAGAGTTAATATGATACATACTATTATGTGATAACATACAGTGAATACGGTGACATTAAACACAATAAAATAAAGGATCATTCAATCATTTTAACTCCTTCAAAAATGTGGCTTGGTGGTGACTCTTAATTCAAGGACATAAAGGACCAGAAGGACAAGGACGAATGCTAGAAGATACACACTACAAATAGACTAGGAGACCAGGGTTTTTGGATGTTGTCCTCTCCTCTCTTACTCTCACTATTGACTTGAGAATTGGAAAGGCTACACTGGGGATGCCCCTGGCATCTCCTTTGATTCTTTTCCTTCTTTGTTGTGAGTATCTCGATTGAGTTGAGAGCTAAGACACCTACTATTGACCCGCGAACTTTCACACATCATCAATGGTCCAGCATTCATCTTGTTATGATATAAATGGAAATAGCAATGCAAAACTAGCCAGCAATGTATAATCAGTTCAAAAGATGTTTCTGTGAAGCAAAATAGCATAGCAAGCAAAATGGATGAACAGACTGTTAATGTACCTCAGTTCCAAGTCGCTTGTTCAAGGCTTCATTCCACATATTGGCAGCATATGCAGGTTGTATTTGACTCCAAACTGTCATAACGGATGCAACCTATAGGACCACGAGTTGATAGTAGAAAGAATATAAATGCTGAAAACCTCTAAAATTGCTTAAAGAAAATTGTATACTCCAAGAAAGAGAAAGTTGGGAAATTTAATCTGTGTCTGTTTCATGGAAAAATATTTTCCGAAAAAAAAAAGAGGCATTTTCTCCATTTTCTGGTGTTTGGAAAGTTCATGAAAATACATTTACAAAAAACAGTCCTTGTCAAAGGGAAAACTAAACTTTCAAGAAAAATGAAAGCCCACTGTTATTTTCAAATGACATACTTATCCTGAGAGCCTTATCAAAATCATGGTTAAACATTAACAAATGGAGCTGGACCCTAATTCTGCAATGGCCCATCAAATTTAAAAATAATGTGGAACAACCACAACATGATAAGATATAAATAAAAGAAGAAAATCGTAGAAGCAATCTGTTAACAGTTTATTCAGATGGAATAAGTTCAATACCAGGTGAGCATCCAAGGGGGGTGGATAGTTCCCTTCTATGGTGTCTATCCAACTAAATATCATGTTATGGTATCCATAAGGTTTTCCATTCATGCTTAATGCATACTCCCATGCAGCAGTCTCATTAAACTTGGCGCGGATATCAGGATGCAGAGGAAGCAGTGCAATATGAGGGTTAGCGTCATCCTTAGTACACTCAAATTCCCACCATTCTTCCCATGGTATTACAGCAATAATATCTTCTCCCTACAACAAAGAATTAAGTACTGCTTATACTCTAACCAAAATCATAACTACCAAAAATAAAATTCAAAGGGAAAAGATTAAGTTTCAGGCACAGGTAGCATGGGCATAAAAAAAGGAAAATAATAAGACAAAATCTCCAGATGGGGCAGCAGCTGCTCTGTAAGATGTGACGAGACCAATAAGAGGCTTATTTTTGCTCCCTCATTTGGATGATAAGATGAACTTGGATAGGATAAGGAATGTCAGCCAAAGAGAGGAAGGAAATATAAGGATTCTGACAATGCATTTAAACACCATGAAGAGGAAATCTGAAAATTGGATGGCATCACAGCCAGAGGTATTAAGGTTCTTCTTAGAAACTCAAGTACATAGCCATACTTCACTTTGAATGTCTTGGGGTTGTAGTTTGAAGTAATACAGCTATAAGTAAACAATGAAAAAAATTGCCATTAAGGGTGAGGATGAAGGGGTGCCATCAGTTCTATTGAACTACTATTTTGTACCACATCTTAGCAAGCTCTGAGGTTACCTGTTCATTTTCATGTCCTGATTCACCAATCCACAATTTTCCTTCAGAATCCTTCAAGCAAACAGCAGTATGACCAGCATAAGCTCCACTAACCCACTTCTCCAAAGTCTCAAAACCACCCCATCTCCCACGGATTTTTGATATTGCAAGAAAATCTCCAGAGTGAATATCATCAATACTGATGTTGGAAACCCAGGGCTGAGGACGTGGTTCAAAGGTAGCCCCCATGCGTTTCTCAAGGAAAGCAATATTGGAATTCTCTCCCCATCCAGTATTCGTGAAAAGGGGAAAGACATCCCACAGTGCTTGAAGGGTTCCTAACATCCCTGCTTGCATGAGGAAAATTGAAACTCCCCTGGTTTTCACCTAATTTCATAGACAATTAAGATCATATCTGTTATCTGCAACTCAAACCTGCACTAGAACAACTAGAAAATTTGGTAACTACTGAATGACAAGAACGGAATCTTACATATTCGTACTCTGCTTTCCCTTCCCATTCTTTAAAGTCAAGTGTATGCTCCCGAGATAAAAAATAATAATCCCATGTAACACGATATGGAGTTGCAAAGACATAAAGATCCATACAAGTCCAGCTATGAGCCTTGCTAACCTGAACAAAAGACAAAATTGAAGTCATTGAAACTCTAAGAAACACAAGACCAGACAAGAAGCAAATAATCAATAGCGCCGTAATCCAACAAAGGATGATCTTCAAAAATTGGCAATGCCATTGACTTGCACAGACACTTTTTTCCCATAGCAGAAACTTAAGGGGGAAAAGTCCTATTTAGATATAGTCTCAATCACAAACAAAATGATATATCTGCTGACGAGAATGCAGATATACTAGAAGACCATGCAATCCAGTATAAACCAGAGAAAGAGATTTACTGGAAAACTTAAAGAAAGAGCCAAATTCATAAAGGAACCATCTATACAAAAATTTAACTTATGTAGCAATACTCAGTAACCTCATATCAAGTTTTCTCAAGCATAAAACCTACACATCTCATGCAAATTTAAATGAGCACCTAGCATTGAGGTATACTCCAAAATGTCTTTCAAGTTAATAAGAACCCATCAATTGAAGTCTCCAGGCTTGAATTGCCACTCTAGGGTACAACAATTCCACATGGAACAGCTCAAACCAAAAGCCATCGCCTTACACAAATAATGCAAAATTTACATGATTCCAAGTCAATACCAATTCTAAGAACTTTTAACAACATCAACTAAAATCAAACCAAAAAAGGCCAAATATATCTTGGATTGCATAAAACACTAACATCAAAGAGAAGAAAAGAAAATAATGTCATGCTCAATTCAGGCACTAACACCCAATAATTCAACTTAAAAGATGACGTAAAATTTCAACTTTCTAGGAAAGCAACTAGTTTCAAACTACAACAGGAAAAATATAGCTTAAATAATATATACAATCCTGGCAGGCCAACAAAAGAAACTCAGTAGAATATTACAATTCCACATCAAAATAAAAATATGCAATGCCGAGATACCAGTCCCTTCAAATTTCCACAAAGTGAACAAATTCTCAAAATAAAAGGCCAACTAAAACTCAAATTAGGTATTCCAGGTAATGCAAACCTCAAAGGAGCTCAAATTCAGTTCTAACACCGAGCAAAAATCCAAAAACCCCGAAAATAAAAACTCTATAATGTTCAACAAAGACAATAAATATCTAGCAAAACAATTAAATTAATATCATTTGCAGCCCTAACCTGCACTTTAGGAGCCGTAATTTAGCACTAGAGTACAAATCATGCAATACCCAGATACGAAAACTTCCAAGTATCATTAAAGACCACAAAAACCAAACGAACTAAAGTCAAACATGCAAGTATGCCAACAAAGTGAAACCTTGAAATTTCAATAGCCCAATTAGAACCCAAACTACAAAAAACCATCTTTTACAGTTCTACCTTGATGTGAAGAGTACCCCCACCAAATTCACTACCAGTCTTGTTATGAAACTCCATCCAAGCTTTGCATTTGTAAAAGCAAGCACCTTTCCACTCAACGGAGTTGTTTTGAGACGATGCAGCTCCCACAAACGTTGGCAAAAGATCAACCGGACTGTTTAGATAATTAAGAACCGGCCACGAAACTTGTCTGGGCAATAAAGGCAAAAGGTCCTGCGGGTGAAATGGTATTTGCAAGTTCACTGCTTGTGAAGCAAAAATTGAGAGAAACAAAGAGATGGTGAGTATTGTAAACGAGGAAGACGGAGCCATGGTCATGGACAGAGAGAGAGAGAGAGAGAGAGAGCGAGCGGGGGAAAGTAAAGCTGAGAACTTTATAACTCCTTTGTTTTAAAAGCCTTTGTTTGTTGCCCGTCTCCCTTTCTCCCTATCGATACGATAATTGCAAGACAGAAAAGAGAAGAAAAGAAATGGTTGTCTGTGTCATAATGTAAAGTTGTAATTTGTAGACCAGGCTAACCAGCCGTTAATTGATTTTGGACACTTGCTAATTACTAATAATTAGTAAGGAAAGATATAGACTTGTTTGTTTTGTTAGTGTTTTCCAAAAATATATATAATATAATATAATATTTTATTTTATTTTTAAGATTTTTCAAACTCATGTTTTGCAATAAGAATATAAGATGGTAATGAAATGTCTTTTTTTTTTTATTTGGTGATGGATTAAGTGTTGCTTAATAAAATTGAAATTTATAATGTTGGAAATTTAATAATTTGATTTTTACTGTTGAATAATGTAAGGGCCAAAGTTGCAAATAGCAAAGCTGTTAGAAATTCAATAATTCATTATACCCATTAATGTAAATTTTAAATTAAAATTTTCACTTATTATTTTTAAGTAATATATCTAAATAAATATTACTAAACAATTTAAAGTTAATAAATGGTTAAAATTTTAAATACTAAATAACTATCAATTACATTTTCTGATAAAATTATGATGATGAATCTTCCTTTAATACTTACTTGTCATATTTAAAATTTCACGTCCCTTAAAAAAATTATTAAATCTGTCTAAGTTATAAAGTAAATTGACTATATTACCCTTAATTTAATACTAATATTCTAAAAAAACTATTAAATTGAAGTAATAATTATTGGTCATAAAAGGGTAAACATGAAAAAAATATATTTATTACTCGTTGAAATCACAAATGTGACATTTATTTTAGAACAAATTATTTTCTCAAATATGACAAATATTATGAACAGTTTTTTTGGTTTTCTTAGTAAGTGCATTAAATGTGTTTCTTAGCTTGTTTCAGTCATCAAAATTTAAATAGCCTCAATGCAAATTATTAAAATATAAAGGTAGTTTTAATTTATTAAATTTTATTTTGTTATTATCATGATTAAATTTACCTTATTTTATTATTAAATCATAATAAATAAAATTATAAAAAAAGTATATAAAAATGTTACTTAACAAAATTCAACTTATTAAAACTTATTTTATTATTTAATGATTTATTTTGTTGTTGAATATTGTATGTAAGTTAAAGATTTTACGAAACATAAAAAAAAAAACACAAATAATATTTAATGGAAAGACCATATAGATAATAATAATAAAAAAAAATATTCATAGCGAGGTCTCCTCTCGACTCACCAAGAGAGTGAAAATTATTATAATCGATAGAACTCGAGATCGAGAACTTCAGCTTTTCGTAAAAAAGTGAGATTAATATAAATATTTTATTTGGCATAACTTGACATAGCTATGTATATAGATTTAGAAACAGATTTTTCGTAAATTTTAAATATCCTAGATGGAAATATATTTGCTTACGTAGGCATGCATATGTGGACACAAATTGGGATATGCTTCAAACTTGTAAGAATACATTTGAATTATTCCTTATTTTGCTGTATGGTTTTTATTTGCATGTAAACGTACAAAGAATGGTACTGTATTTGTTTTCTATTTCATGTTTATAATTACGTGAGAGCAATTTTTTCTTGAAACGTCCACGACAAGTGAGAATATTATATATTAAATTAACTTATTCTTGCAATAATTATGAGAAAAAAAATTATTAATGATCAAATTTATAAATATCCTCTATTTTATAAATAAATCAAATTAAAGTAATTCATCGAATCAATTTAGTTGAATTTAGTTACAATCTTCCTATCAATTTAAATTTCTTGTTTAAAGTTTAAACCCTGCAACTTTTGTAGCATTCAAAAGTTTTTTTTTTTTTTTTTTTTTTTTTTTTTTTTTTTTATTTTACGTTACCAATCTTCCTATCAATTTAAATTTCTTGTTTTTTAAAGTTTAAACCCTGCAACTTTTGTAGCATTCAAAGTTTTTTTTTTATTTTTTTTTTTTTTTTTGTTTTTTTTTTTGGTGAGAGTTTCAAAAAGTTTTTTTTTTTTTTTTTTTTTTTTTTTTTTTTTTTGGTGAGAGTTCAAAAGTATTAATTAACTCGGTAAAATGAAGTTGGTTAAAATTTTATTACCAGAGTATAAGGAATTATACCAAAGAAAATGAGAATTTCTTTTTTGTCATTAAAAAAAGGAGAAAAAATAATTCCATATTAGGCTGATGCAATAAGGCATCCTACAAGATGCTTCAAGACTTTGAATATTCCACAACTGCTACTTTCATTCCCTTTGAAAAACACTCATCATCTTTTCTTTTGTGTCTTAAAGCTTAACGGTGAAGTTAGCTGCACCGTTGTTTTAGTAACATTTAGCTATTATTAATATTTAGCTATTTGATTAGCTTTTTATAAAATGCTAAAAAATTAGACGGGGATAAAATTTTGTAAAATACTATTTTTATTCTCTAAAAATTAATTCAAACGCGATGTTATTTAAAATTATAAAAAAATAGTATTAAATCGATAAAAATTACCTAAAAATTAAAAAATTATTGTCAAACACAATCTTAAATATTAAGAATATTTGATTATAGAAGTTTCCTGAGACTACACAAAGAAAGAAGAAAAGATGATTTTGAGTTGATCACATCAGAAACCATAAACGATGTAATTGTTTAGCCATCAACTTGCAAGAACGTGAAAGCAGAACCAATCTAGTGGCTTCTAACAGTGCCACATTACTAATTTAGACCAATGGACCACCAATTTGAATGTGATCATGTGTATGGTTCATATTTCACATGTAAAAATTGGAAAACAATAACCTTGGCCTGCGTGGGAAACATCAATCACATATTTTCAGTGTACATTTCAGGCCTTTTATCTTCAAAAAATGACTTTCTTTATCAACACAAGTCCAAGAAAACTTCAAAAAAAGTTGTGTGATATATACCTTAACGTTCTAAAACTGAATTTCATCTCCTCATGAAATAAAAATTCCACTGCTCAACCACTTGGTAGAAAAGGGAAGCCTATGTACACTAGCGATCTCTATAACCCCACGCAAACTATAGATAAACCATAACATGGTTTCTTTCAACACTCTCCACAAGACTCTCAACTCAATTTAAGTCCACAACTTCTCTGTTCTAAGCTCATACATATATTGCCTCTTGAAACACACTTTCATTTTGGTTTCTCTTAGACATTATTCTCTATGTCTGTCTTAACCCATCACAAATACCTTACTAGGCACCCAACCCAAATCCATGGAATTGTTTCCCAGCGCCACCACCTTTGCCGGGTTGCAAATGTAATATGCTCAAACACAACCACCACCACCTCCACCTCCTCATCCACCACCACATCTAAGTCCAAACCAACCCAATTAGCTATTGAACCTAGACTTGTAAACTCCATTGCCCCTCCTATTATGAATGACCCTAGTTTGCAATCTACATGGTCTCACCGGATATGGTTGGCAACCGGGTGCACCACCGTGCTCATTTCTCTAGCTAAGGCTATCGCTGCATCTGCCAATTCACATATATGGCTCCAACCCATTTTAGCAGGCTACATTGGGTACATTTTAGCTGACCTGGGTTCTGGGGCTTATCACTGGGGAATTGATAACTATGGAGATGCATCAACAGCAGTTTTCGGCTCACAGATTGAAGCATTTCAAGGTCACCATAAGTGGCCATGGACGATAACTAGGCGTCAATTTGCTAACAATTTACATGCCTTAGCTAAGGCAATAACATTCTTTGTATTGCCTATTGACCTTGCTTGTAATGACCCCATAGTTCATGGCTTTGTCTGCGTATGTGCTAGTTGTATTATGTTTAGCCAGCAGTTTCATGCCTGGGCTCATGGGACTAAGAGTAAGCTGCCACCATTAGTGGTGGCATTGCAGGATGTTGGTCTTCTTGTGTCACGTTCACAGCATGCCGCCCATCATCGGCCGCCTTATAACAACAATTATTGCATAGTGAGTGGTGTTTGGAATGAATTTCTGGATAAGCTAAAGGTTTTTGAGGCACTAGAGATGGTTTTGTTTTTTCAGCTTGGGGTTCGTCCCCGGTCATGGAGTGAACCTGCCTCTGACTGGACTGAAGACGTTGAAATAAAACCTTCTCAAGTTACAGTAAACTAATTCTTTATGAAATACATGCGAATTTGTTTTAATTTCCAGGAGTATGAAATGTGAATAGAATTGTATGCCAGTTTTGGGGGCTCATACTGTAAGAATCTTTTTTATTTTAGTGATTACCTGATACTACTTAATTATATTAGAGCAGAGTTGTACGATTCTGGAATCTGCTTCTAAATGAATAAATTAGTTTAATTCCCACACCATAAATAAACAAATTAATAAAAGTGACCAATTCTTTTATATCGTATTTTTATCTTTGAGCAAGAAAAGTTTGTCTATCTAATTTCCATGATTTGGAGGCAATTTGCCAAAATGAGAGGCACTTATGCAAAGTTACTCGATGTAAACTTAAAGATTACACCAAGACAACTGTAAATTGGGAAATCGATTCTTTTATATCAACTCAAGTGAAATTGGCAGTTAAATACATTTTTATGTGGCTAGTTTACTTCCAGACGGGTGAAATGAATAAAGCAACATTAAATTACCTTTTGCACCTTATGATTTTGGTACAAGTATAATGTGTGTGAATGAGAAAGCCCATGTTAAACATCAGCCCCTATAGCAGAGGATATGGAAGCCACACAGGGGAACCAATAGCGGCGCTTGCCATCCTTATGTCCATCATCAATCATCGCAAGACCTTCCTGCATCAACAAACAGGGATTTATGAGATCCAAGGATCTGATTATAGAACATATGGCAATAGAGATAAAAGGTTAACTTGAAAATGGATAATCAGAGATGGAAGCAAAAACTTACATCTAATAAGGTATCAAGGGCATCAATAGCACGGCCAGATGTCCAAGAAAGCCGCCTCTCTACCTCCTCAACAGTCACAAAGCCTTGAGCCTAAATGAATGAGATGAAGGAAAATGCAGGTCAATAATTATCCTGTTGAGAATGATAATACTTCAGGATATGGAGAGTATAAAAACCTGAGCCAGCTCCAGAATCTCATTATGGTCTTTGTTCAGTTCAGTTGGAACAGATCGAACAAGCTTTTTCTTACCGACAGAAATCACTTCAAAACCACTACCTAATATCTGCAGAAATTCATAGTCAACAAGCAAAGCCAGAAAGTAATGGAAGAAGGCAAGTCTGCTGACCATGCAATACAGAAGTTCTATTCAATTTGGCAAGTAATACAATGGTAGTATACATTAATGCATACTCCGAATGTAATATATCACTAGCCGTCTTACAAATGTTAGGCATATGCAGTAATTTCCAATAGCACAAAAATAAATTATATCATTGCCTCGAGAAAAATGGAAAAGCAATGTGAAGAAACTCCAGAACAGTGGGCACATATAAACGTTCTGGTTGCTTTTTACCAGAAGACCAAGAAGATGATTATAGCAATCAGATTACTTCATGCCACCCTAAAAAATTTCTCTTTGCCCATCATGACATTGCAGAGCAAAACATCATATCCTCATGTACAAGTATTTTTATTCTCCCCCACCACTCTGTGAGAGAGAGAGAGATAGAGAGAACCATTTGATGACTAAACTTTCTTCATAAACCAGATATAGGACCTAAAATTAAAATACCAAGAAACTCAGAATACGGAAACGGTTTCGATCAGCAAACTCATAGCTGTCAATTAAATCCTTGGAATAACAAAAATACATCATAGTAGGTGTGCTGTAATCAACAGCAACAGCTTGAAACATGTTCCTGTAGCCTTGACTAATTAGAAGAATTTAACTACAATGAAGAACCTTGTATTGACATCACTTTCTCACAAATTGAACAATCATAAGTATGAAAATCATTCATAGTAACCTTAATTACAAACCTTAAGCTTACTTATAGCACGTAAGCAGTCATCTTCAGAAACGGCTTCACGATCACTTTTTCGTTTCTGACGAAGCAGAGTGCAGAGTTCCTGCAGGTTGATCAAACCTCCATTGTGAGGTCTTGTTGCCAAGCAAATCTCAACAATTTGTACCCCTGTCTAGCCAAGTATGTGAATGCCAATATAAGAATTCTAAAGCACATTTGTATGTTAGTGTCAAGACACAATTTTAGAAAGTGGGGTAGGGGAACAACGTCCAAGTCAAAAAATAGTTCTCGGGGGAAAATAGAACCTCATCTGCATAAACATGAATAAATTTTGCCACCAGAAAAGTAAGATAATAGTTTTTTTTTTTTTTTTTAACTAAAATTTATAGTAGGCATACCTTGGAGAAATCCATGATTTATAAAGAACATAAGTTTAGGACCAATAAACATTCATCTCAACTGAAAGACCTTTGAAGGCACACAATTCCTTAACACAGTTCATAAAAATTATGGCATTCAGATGTTAGAATTGTTTTATTCATCTTCAAATCTAGGTAAAGTATTAAGCCTCATCAAGTGCCTCATCAAATCTAGTTATCATTATTTTGGTTGATTGGGGTGCAAATGGGGTTCAACATTACTAATAGCAATCAAGTACCTAAATGCTTCTTTTTCCCCCCTTGATTTTGAACAATGTTCTATATCAACAAAAAGCATCAGATAATTTCAACACAAACAAAAAACCACATGTTCCAAATACAGCATGAGCAATCAGTATCCAATTTTACATTTTGGAAACTATACATCTGTTAGAAATACAGTTCAACCAACAACATATACAGCTTCTACACCACACATAAAAGAGGATTATGCAATAGGAACAGCACCACACTTCAAGAAAAATTGTACGAACCAAGTTCATAATAGAAGTCACCAATCCCTAAGAGTTCTGCCCAGAAACCCTTATTTGAGGCCAATGGATCCACTCCCACTTTAGCACACATCTCATGGAATTGAGTCCTGAAAGTTGGGTTCTTGCGAATATCATTCTGCATAAAACCGTATCCAGTTTTAATGCAATTCCCCATTTTAATTCTAAATTTTGGCAACATGCGAATTATACAATTAAGACAAAATATGATCAAGCAATCCTTCCCAAAAGAAAAAAAAAAATCAAGCAATTGGGTTTAAAAGTTCGAGTTGAAAATAACCTTGTGTTTACGAGCAAATTCTTCAAGCTGAGAGCGAAAAGTGGCGAGCTGTTCTTTCATAAGATCAGTTCTTAACTTTGCTACATTTTCTCCTAGTAATCGATATTGATCCTTCAATATAATTTCCAAAAAATAAAAACAAATTAACAAAAAATGTGAATAAATAATCAAATGAAAAACAAACAAGAAAGAAATAAACCCTAGCAGCAGCAGCTGTTTGTAACCCGCCAATTCCAGGTCTCCTTCTCATTATTAATATTTATGATAGTCTGCTCCTTTATGTTCCTGCATGGATTAAATGGTATTAGTTGTTATTCAGTGGTTCGGCAAGCATGTTTTCCAGGGGAAGGGGAGATGGAGAGATGGACGGAAGTGGGAGAGAACTGGCAAGCAAAACATTCATATGCTTATATATATTAAAAATGAAATCATAAAACAACCATCAGAGTGGCGCAGCGGAAGCGTGGTGGGCCCATAACCCACAGGTCCCAGGATCGAAACCTGGCTCTGATAAAGAGAAAAGCTTCAACCACTCCTTTTTGTTTTTTTTTTTACATTTTTTGTTTAAATACTTTAATTTTCACTTATTTTAATTTTAATTTCTTTTGTTTTTTCTTTTTTGTTAAATATTTAATTTCATTTATTTTTTTAATTTCTTTTGTTTTTTTTAATATTTAATTTCACTTATTTTTTATTTTTTATAAATAGTCATTAACTTTTCGCTTTTTAAGATTTTGTTAAATATTTTAATTTCACTTTTTTTTTTTCTTTTAATTATTCTCCCCCATTCTTTTTATTTTGGTTTTAAATATCATTACTCTTTCACTTTTTTCTTTTCCTTTTTTTTTTTTTTTTTTAAATATTTTAATTTCACTTTTTTTTTTTTTTCCCTTTTAATTTTCTCCCCGCATTTTTTTATTTTGGTTTTAACATATCATTACTCTTTCCACTTTTTTCTTTTCCTTTTTTTTTTTTTTTTTGTATATTTGAGCTTTAATAATTTCTTTTCTATTATAGTTTTAATATGAGTAACCTTTTTTTTTTTTTTTTGTATATTGAGCTTTAATAATATTTCTTTTCTTATTATAGTTTTAATATGAGTAAACTTATATACTAATGTGAAGGTGTGTTAACCTATCTGCGAAAAAATAAATAAAAAGAACTAAATTCATTTTGTATTTCAAATTGAATCAATAATCAAATTTGATTTACAAGGTCTTATACATTGTGTATATGACTAGAGCCAAATTTCTAGATTATGAAGGATAAATCATCCAAGTCATATGTTCTGATTGGGTGTGCATGTCTGTGTATTTCAGCCTGCGGCTAGTCAGCACTCAGGCAGTGACAAAAAAATTCTGACACAAAATTTTGATAAATTCTCTGTTGCTAGAATAGTATGTAATGGGAATGAATCCTAACTATGCTGATATCCCTGTAGCTTCTTTTGGTATCAAAAATAATAAGGCAACAGGAATGTAAGTGCAAAGAACTTGGATGCCAATGCCCAAAAAGAGATTGTCAAATGAGCCTGGTGAAAGGTTCAAAAATGAAGCCAGTGCAGCGCCGGTGAACGATCCGAATGTTGAACCCAAGTTGTTTATTGACATAAAGAGGGCAAACAAAGTTCCTTCAATTCCAGGTGGGCATAACTGTCCAGATAAAATGAGGAATGGCATGAACCTGCAGAAAGTCCAGAACAACAACAATTGTTCAGTCGGTGTATATTGTGTGGATAATTGATATGAATCCACAAATTATGAACAGAAGAAAGTAGGAACTTGGCAAAATATGCACATACTTGAATTGGTTAATTGCATCAGCAAGTGCAGATCCACAAAGGACCATGATCTTATCTGAAATTCCATAGGCAAGGCTGATCCGAGAAACTAAGACCATATCTAAGAGGCTCATGAAAGACAAACCAATATGAGCCAACCTGTATTATGTGTGTAACGCAGGATAAAGCAGGCATTAGGTAGATCATGTTGAAGAAAATGAGACAACATTGCTGAGATATAGATTCTGTCATTTTAAGTACTTACAAAAGAATCTTCTGCAGCTTCATTGTCTTCAAGTAGCGATTGTAAGTGAATGTACCAAGCATGAGGCCCCACCATCCAACAACACGTGTAGTCCCCAAAAAGGATGCGTCCAAGTTCAAGTACTCAGTCTGGTAATAGAACATGACTGTTGAGAGATTTGGAACTGTGACATGTGCTAGGAAAAACCAAATCATTGGTCTGGTCTTCCCAAGACCAAGGTAACAGCAGAAACAAACAGGATTAGGAGCCACAGCCAGTAGAGTTTGGAAAAGAAGAAGGAAAACATAAATTAAAAAGGGAACCATATGAAAGCTAGACTAAGGACAGGAACATCTAAACCATATCTATACCAGATATAAGAATCATAAAGCTGATCTAATAATTGGACACCTTCAACTATTTGAGAATAATCACGAAGGAGTTTTTTAAGATCTTTTCAGCAGTTACCTCAAAATGATTGGCTGCCTAAATGCGCGTAACAAACTGTAAGTGGCTGCTTTCAAAGACTGCAACAAACCCAATGCAAAGGGATCCTTCTCGGAGATTTGTGATTTAGTATTAATAGCTGTCTTCTTTGTACTATTCTTTTGGCTCTTCTTTCTTCTCGAGGTGCTCCTATTTGACTTCTTTTCTAAGAAAATATCTTCATCCAAGTTAATGCCATTCCCATTCACCATATGGGTGCTGCCTACAGAATTAGATGACTCGGACAAAACTTTACTGCCTATAGAATTCTCCCTAACCAAACCACACGATAATAACTGTATGGTTGGCAGTACAGAAAAAAGAAGGAAAATTGTATCAATGTGTAAGTTGGTTAATGCGTATCCTCCTAACAAACTGCCACAAATGCCACCCAAAGCCATGGATAACCATGATATTGACTGGAGATCTCCTGCAAATGAGGCCCTGTTCAATGACAGCAGTAAGGATGTCATATTCTTAAGAAAATTAACCAAACCATGAAATTCTGAATAACGATCAGTCAATGCGTGCGCGAACAAAAAAAAGTTCTCTGCAACAGGAGCAGCAACACATAGTAACATACTTTGTGGAGAGAAATATTTATTCTAACTCTTTCGGTTGGTGGAAAGTTACCACCATAGCATACTCGGAAAAGAAAAATATTTTCCCCAACCAACCCAATTTCATAGTCTGCACTTTGACAATTGTTGGAATTGCATGTCAATTTCTCCATTTAATTTCAACAGGCTAAGCATATGCATGGAAATGGAAAAGAGAATCAATATGTGAACATACCGCTCAAACCTTACTGCCTCAGCAATCATTGCATCTACCACCACATCTGCCATGGCAGAGCCCAGGTTTTGCAGAGTCAAGAAGACTATAAGGTGCCATTTGGAACTCCTCAAGGTCGCATTTAATCCCAGAATAGGCCACGGCACTAGAGATAGAAGAGTTGCAATTACTAGGTATGGTATCCTTTTTCTTCCCTTAATCGGGATGCAATCTGACAAAATTCTACAGCCGCATGAAAAATAAGAATCCAATAAACAGAAATCAAAAACTACTCAATTACTCATAATTAAAGGACTGATTTCTTAACTTAGCATTTCATGCTGGGCACCAACAACATGAGCAATTAAACGTACGTGATTATATACATAAAAATACTTGATATGATAATCTAGGGTATTTATTTTTGCTACACGATCGTGCCATAAAATTTTCTGTTGTATGAATTTGTTTTGAAATGGATCCGTATTTCTTGTAACATTTAATACTTTTCATATTTATTTGACTAGAAATCATGAAAAGTGACAGCACACATATTTTTATAAGATAATGTTATGTGGTGCTAGAAAATTTTAAACTCACTTCAACTTTGCCATTAAAAAAAAAGGTGTAGTTCTTTCTTTTCTATTGGTTAAACAAATGCCAAAAAAGACAGTATTCCAAGCAGAAGCATGAATAAGGAAACCGGAAGTGCTACACTGATGGACAGTGACAAATTAACAAGATGTGTATATCAAAAGAAGATATTCTAAAAGGATATATTTATATAGTTGAAGCTACAATAAATGCATGTTTAATATGAGAAATTACCATACCCATATAATGGTTTTATACTCCATGGGAAAAATGCTACTGAAGATACAAATTGGGACGCTGAAGGCGACAACTCAAGCCTGTCTTTAAGATGGTAAGAAACTGCTGTCCACACAAAGGATCGGAAACCCTACACTCATATTTTCACAACAAAGCAAAGAATGATAAGTTGATGGAATTTCAACAAAAGATCGGAAGTAAAGACAGGGAAAAGGCATTCCACAATGAGTACGCATGAAATACAAATACCACATTCCAAAACTCAACCAAGTCCTAATTAATTCCCAACTTTCAAATCTAGCCCAAACTACAGCCAAAGCATTGCCAGTTACAAGGGGATTAAATAGGAATAGAGAAACCTTGCCTAAGGGGACCACTAAAATGACAAGTTCAGTTGACTTCAAAACAAAAACAGTTCTCCATAAAGCATTTTATCAATTGCAAAAAAAAAAAAAAAAAAAAAAAAATTGACTTCAACAAAAAACAGTTCTCCATAAAGGCATTTTATCAATTGCAAAAAAAAAAAAAAGAAAAAAAAAAGAGTGGATGCATGTGATAATAAACAAAAAAAAAAAAAAAAAAAAAAAAGAGTGATCATGTGATAATAAACTAGGATTTAACATAAATCGAAAATTTATATCAGCACATAATGTCACCATCATGCTCCATTTTATTACTGGTATAGGAAGAGGAATTCAAAGCAATTGGTTAGTATAATACAAGTACTTAATTTGCTTCAAAAAGCAACTTTCACTTTCAAGAGCGTGTAAAAAACACCTAGATAGCTAACCAATGAAGCAAATTCTCAGCAACTAATAGGAAAGAAAGAAAAAAAATTTTCTTAGCTGCTTCTAACCGATCAAGAAAAATGTTACTTCGACGAGCGATAAACATAAATTCAAAACGCCAACCAAGCAATAGCTTTCTCAAAATCAACATAACACACGGATTTTCATCAAAATATATTGATAACAGCTAATCAGCTATACAGTTCTAAAATAAAAATCAGTAAATGACTAAAAATTAACAAATCATCACAACAAATTCACATATCTTCACATCTACCTTTCCTTCTACCATCATAGTTTTTTTAAGAAAAAGACAGAACCCATTACTCAGAACACCAGAAGAAGGAAAATTCATCAACTTAACGCTAACAGGTTCCAATTGATCAAGCAAATAAAGGAAGAGGAGAAGTGTTGAAACCTGAGTGAAGTAAATCAAGCAAATGAGCCATAGAAATGAAGCGCCAAAAGCTTTTCTTAGCTGATTTAGCCATCTTATCATTGTTAAAACCCAAAAAAAAAAAAAAAAGCCTTTGTATTTCCTGTTGCTATAAATCACTAAACTCCCATTTTCTTCTGTGTATTTTTTTCCTTTTGTCTCTGCGCAATTCTCTCTGCTTTAACGGTTTATGTCTTCAACTTTCAAGTTATTGTTTCATTTGACAAGAATGTCCTTGCTGTTACTAGGTAAAGACAAAGCTGTAGCAGGCCTTTTTCGTCATTTAAAAATATTCAGTTAATCACCGAACACGTCTCATACGCCTACCAAATCTCACCACGTCAGCAAGAAGGGCCACGTAAGCGATAGTCGTTAAGGTTATTGTCACAGTCGTGTTCAACTGCAAAACAGGATCCACTTACGAGATCCGTAATTAATTGTGTATTGTCTTCCTTTAAAAAGTTGCTTTTTTTATTATTATTTTCGTTTAACTATTCCAGAAAAGAAATAGTCGTTTGGTAATTTTATAGCATTCGGTAACCATCCAACCCATAATGTCTCAGAAATTCTTTATTTTATTTTATTTACAATGATTTCAACAATTTCATAGTTTTCAACTTGCGATTTTCCAGTAAAAAAAAATTGTGATTTTGGAAATTTCTTTTCCAGGAATGCTTCATTAATCTCCACAAATTTTTTGAAACCCAACACAAAAAGTCAAAACTCTATTAAATATAATTTGATTAGTCTTCGTACTTACGTGTAAAATGGAAATCTCTAATTTGAATTCTCTCAACTACAAAAATTTATACCAATTTAGTGACATAAGGACTTATATAAATGCACATCAAGATATGGCTTAACAGTAAATGCATTACGACCTGTCTATAAATCTGGATCGTATCACTTCCCCAGTGCTCCAAAAAAAAAAAAAAAAAAAAATCGGTATCACTTCCCCAGTGCTTCAAAAAAAAAACACCAAAAAAAAAAAAAAAAAAAAAAAAATGAAGCTAGGGTGAACCACCTGTAGCCACGCCCATGTAATGGTTGTTTTTCGTGTGTAAAAAAAAAAAATATTGAAGAGATTTCAAGAGAAATAAATAATTCAATGATTTCACAATATTATTATGATTCGAGAGAAAGTAACAATATTATTATGATTCGAGAGAAAGTAACAATATCTACTCGGACACTGCAGTGGAAATGTGTTGAATCAAGAACGGACAATAAACGTCTTTATTATGGTATTTTCATAAATTCTCATCTACCACTTTTTTAAAAATTGAAGTACAGCTTTATCCAATGACTGGAGGTATTTGTGGTCAAAATCAAGAGAAAAATTTCATTTCAGACATAATTTTCCCATCTCAACGCAAAGTTAAAATACCATAACAACACCAGCTAGAAATTCAGTCTAGAGTTAGTTGAGTGAACATAAGCTGTCCCAAAATAATAACCTGGACCTGAGCCTACAAGCATTTAGAAAAACGGATTCATTCTTAAGCTCGAACCATACATGGCCCCGATTGACAGTTTGGCTCCAAGAGATTTTGGATATAGCAATAAGAGTAACAAAGTTGACATTTTTCTGTCGTTTATATGTATTTATCCACACAACAACAAAGATATCGGTGACCCATAGGCCAAGTTTATCACATACATGTACATTCAGATATTACAGCAAATGCTCATGAAGAACATGAACTAATCTGTTCTCTAATTTCTTATAGAAGATCGGGCCCAATTTCTTAAGAAGATTATACATGATAATTGCAATATCTAGATGCAGTATGTTGGCACACTAGAAGGGCGATAAACAAAGGGTCTGACGGTATGAGAATAACCTGATGGACGATTATAGCTGAACTTCACCCCTGTGCTTCCTTGCCCAAGATGGGTGCAGTGTTCATGGAAACTACTGAGAGGCCGTGCCAAGCATGCATCCCAACGGTCACTTTCAGGCATAGTCTCAGCCACTGTATATATGCCCTTTGCATTTGTGAATGCTTGGTAATTCAAAACTTCCCCAGATTTTGTTATACAAAGAACAGCTACCTCAGCACCTGGATCAAAAGAAACAAAACCACTCCATTTAACACCTCATTGAATATGAACACATTACAAAAGCGAGTTAACTGTTGCTTTATGAATTTCAAATTCCACCCAATATAACAGTTGAGAATTTTAAATATCTATTATAGTTCATTACCAATGTAACGGGAATAAGATCACAAGGAAATCTCACCTGTCTATCCTGCTGATACTCATAAATGCGACCATAGTCTATCACAAGAATTAACACATCAAGAGGTTCCATGGGTATGAATCACATAGCCCAACGAACTCAAAATTCATTTCATATAGCCCTATTATATATATACCAACCAAGACGACAAAATTTGAAATAAGCATAATTCAATTGCAGCGCAAATATAAAAGACTAGTTGCCCTCCCTAGCTAATTATAATGGATAGGATTGAAGGTAACAATAAACAGCCATATTACAGTAGAATGGAAAGGTAATGCAGCCTATAATCCAAGTTTTTTCTTTTACAATGCATTATCTGTATTATTTATTACCTTTTCTGGGAAGATTTCTAAGAGTATCATTAAATTATGTTGACAACAGAAGGATGAATACGCTAGTAAACACATAATCAACAATATTTCCTTGAACAAGTTATTCCCAGAAACAGTTAAATAAGATTGTGAGATATTAACCTCAAGCTTACCACTTTTAGTCTCAGTCTATTTCAAAATGAAAATCTAAGTTTCTCCTCTATACAATATGGTCACTGCGTCAACAAATTTTCAACAAGAAGATATAGGCTATAATTTTCATGCTGGAGCGACTGAAAATTTCATCACGAATAGTGTAGTAGCAATTTCTACGTTTTTCAGCTTTGTACTTCTCAAGTTTGCAAGGTCCATCTATGCACCCATCTCTGATCATTTCCAGGAAAAAAAAAAAAGATCATTGAACTTCACAGACAAGAACCGCGTACCTTATCACACAATAATTTTGAGAGCTAAAAAAAACTGATCATGTATTTTGTAACATAAGAAACACAAAAATGGAAAAAACTAGAAACATCAAATCAATTCATTCTCTCTCTCTCTCTCTCTCTCTCTATTTATCTTTTTAATCCAGGCATAAATTGAAGCAATTTAATCTAATAACATAAAAGCTCACAAAGAAACAAGTAACTCAATTGACTAGTGGAAAGAAATAATCTTTTGAAAACCCGATAACTTAAGCATGAGTAGTTAAAAATTATTATTCTAGCAAACTCCGAGACAGATATCTAACTGCAGACCAGTTTTAATCAACAGAAATACAGAAGATTTAGAAACTGAAAAGAAAGCAAATTCCCAAAACGGAATTGAAGACCTGTAGCAGAGTCCAAGCAGAGAATTTAGCATAGACCCAACCTCAACCATTACAATTCCGCAGATAAATATCAGTATGTATATATTTCACAAATCAAAAATACAAAAATTTTCAACAAATCATTTTCCACAAATGAAATTACAAAACCGAGTTAATCACAATCTAAATAAATCTAGGCTAATATTCCAGCTACAATCATTAAAGCATCAGTACCCACAGATTGACCAAAGGAACAATTTTGAGAATAATGCATGAGCAATTTCAAGTGAAAGAGAAAACCCACTTCAGACATTTAACAAAAGAACAGGCATTTACACAAAAAAAAAAAAAGGAGAAAAGAAAAGAAAAACCCTCAGTCCATAGATTTAGGGAGAGAGTGAGAAAGACCTTCTAAGACATGATCTTCAGGGCCAATAGAAGAATCACCACAAACATCACAAACAACTCTTCCTCGGATTTCACCCGTCCAAGCTTTGACACTGGAGACGGAAACGAGTAATAGAAGGAGACTCATAACTAGATTTCTTGTCGGTAATGGCGTCTCCATAGCTTGTTTTCCGAGTTTCCCAAACTGTCCAGAATCTCAAGCATACATAAGATTTCGACGCTTTATATGCTGGCGTGGCATCGAATATCTTCGGCTACTGTGATGATGAGCAAGAAACTGAATCTTTGATGATTGAACGACAATTCGTTTCAAGTGTCGGTTGAGTGCACATTTTCTTTGTTCCTTCGAGACTTCGACAATGTATAAACGTAATTTAAGTAAATTTTCTTTTCAGTATTCAGTCGTAATAATACGTCGTCCAGATGGTGCATCCTTAAGTATTAGATTATTTAATTTATTAATTTACATGTAAAAACAATTCTCAATGAAAAATATATTTGAAATGTATAATAATATTAATTTAGTAACTACATAATATTATTCCTTTAAAAAAATAAATCATACTATTATTTTATCTAATCCAGATTAATTTTTCACCTTACTTATTTTTTATTTTGAAAAAATTCTGATTATTATTTATAATTTTAATTTCAAAATTTTTTAAACACTCTACCACCAGTCAGTGAACGACAGCTCGTTCAACAACAGCTCAGAAGAGGTAATTCAAAAGGATTTGTGGTTGGTCAAAAATTAGGTTTGACCATGAATTCTATGCGCCTCTCCACAACGTCACGTCCGTTTGGGTCAATTTAAAAGCAAAAAAGATTCTCGGTCGAAATATAATTTTATAATTGTTAGGGACTAACATGCAAGTTATCTTTTCGTTCCTTCACAAGTTCACAATATATGGCAACTAACTAAAACCTAATCTCAGAGCCGCATTCAGCTGCAGTTTCTCACATTTAGCATATCTCTGATTAAGATGAATCAGAGAAACATTTGTTGATACCTCCACAGACGTATTAGGTAATCTCTAGATTTTTCTATTCTTAAATCTGATTCTTATATCGGCAACCGGTGTAGATGCAGAAAAGAAAACAACAATCTTTGATTAGTAAACAATCTGGTCTTTTTAAATTTTTGGCAAACTAGTCCTTTTTTAGAGCTATATTCATACGAGTAGTTGCAATTATCTCGATTTTTGTGGTTATAGTGTTATTGCCTTATGGGGTTTTCAAGTTTGCTCAAATTTCTATCTTTTGCTGCAAATATTCAAAGACAGATTAAAACTTTATCAATCCAACAATGATTTTTTATTCTTTGAGAGTTTTCTTCTATACCCTTTTTGTGCATTGTCTTTTTATGAACTACTGGCTTGGGTCCCAATGAAGAATGATGTTTATATAGAATAAAAGTAGTGGGCTGATTTCCGCTGATGACTAAACCAATTCTGAGGGATTTACTTTTGCCTGTTTGGTTCATGTCTATTATTCTTTGGTATCTTTCCAAAAGGAACTTTGCTGATGAATTTTTTCCTTCAGTAGTTAAAGATTGAAATTGGCGTTTTGATTTATTAATAATGCAGTCATCTCCTTTCCATCACTTGCACATTAGAACTGATTTTGCATCTCTATGATGATTGCTTGTTAATTGAAAGTAGTGGACTGATCTGTTGATGATTAATATATTCTGAGAGATGCCATGTTTCTTATGATTTGAAATGTGTGCTTGCAAGTTTTGCTTGTGGTCCAGTCTGCTAATGATGGACATGGACACTCCTGAATATTGGGAGCCAGGGATTCATGATGGACATATACACTCCTGAAGTTCCATCCATATTTTGAGTCGTGGGGTGCATAATGAAGAAACTAACAACGAAACAGTAGTGTACTTCAGTAGATTATAACATATTCTTGGAAGTAAATCATCACAGTTCGTTTTGTGAATTTCAGTATCGGCATACAATATTTTCCAGTAAAATGCTGCATGCCATGAGATGAAAATGTGTATGTCTGTAAAGGGATTTTAGTTTTGTTCTAATCTTTATTGGTGGTGCAGCAGTTACAAGTGAAATGCATTTGTTTCTAGGAGTATATTATGCACTCTGTAGTTTAATAATATTGAAATAATCCTGGTTTGGCATCCCCAGGGGCATTATTATTTTGAATTTTGGTTTATACACAGATTGAAATCAAATGATGAATTTGGATTTCATATTTCTCACGACGGTCGTCTGAGACACCATTACAGTGTCAATGGTGATTCAATAATCCAATGGTTCTGATGCTTTCATCTCTGTGTTTAAACTTGCTTCTAAAAAGAGGGAAATAGTAAAAAAAAAAAAAAAAATTCTGTTTTATAAGTTGGTTCTCATATTCTTTCGATCTTTTTCATTCATAATTCTTACTATTTTAAAGTTGCGCAAGTCTATTGTAACTATCAATCTGTACTGTGAATGCATTTCCTCTAACAGGTTAGAGGTGTCAACGTTGCTACCTCAAGTTGGAATGTTGTGTAGTCGTAAAATGTTAGATGATATACTTTGCGATTGTCTTTATTCTTTAATAAGGTAATCAGAGCAGTATAGGTGCCTTGACTGACTCATACATCGGAGATTGTAAACCTCCGTTAGATTCAATTTTGTAGCATTATAGGTGATTCAAATTGGAATTATATGTAATTACTTGTGAATATATGAATCAATTTTTGAAAAAAAAAAAAAATTAAGGAATGAGATTCTATTGAAGTATCAGTTGAATAAGTTATTCAAAAAGTGACATGATTTTCAATTAGGGCACCTAAGGATTCGTTAGACCGTTAATACGTCAGTAATTAATTCTATTGAACGAGATTGAATTAGGGCACATTAAATTCAATTGTAATTCGCTACAGGTGATGCAAATTAGAATTATGTGTGATTACATGAATTAATGTGTAATTTAGGCTCTGTTTGGTAGGAACATTGTTCGGTAATGTCATATTTATCTTAACGTTTAGAGTTTGAGGCAAGTGTTAGCATTATTCTTCTCAACATTTAGTGTTTTATAAATTTTTTATAATGTTTATATCCATCATTTGTCTTTACCTCGATTTTTATGACTTTACTCTTTTTGTCATTTTATATTAAACAGCTAATCAAATATTTATTTTTAGTGAACACTTTAGTTTTAAACTGCTATATAAATAACTAACAGCTAATATTAATTAATTGTTAATCTAATATCATAGCATCAACTAACCGCTAACAGTTAGAGCTAAGCTATTACAACAGTTGCTATTACAATAGCTGTTAGACCGCTAAAATTGCCGAACAGTGCCTTATTCTAATTGTAGTTTTTATCAAATAATAAGAAAGTTGCAACATCACCATGTCAATTATAAAGAAAAACTTAGAGCAATACAAAATTTTGTAAACAATCTATTATTCATGTAAAATTATGAATTTTGGTAATATTATATACCTCTACGTATCAGCAATAATAATTTTTTAATGTTTTTAGCATTTACATGAAAAATATATACTTGATGTGGTTAGTGTAATATTTTGAATAATAATTTTAATATTTTTTTAACTATTTAATAAATATTTAATTAATATAATTTAAAATTGAGTGTTTAACAGAATAATTTTTATAAATTAAAGTATTTAATAATATAATTTTATAAATTAAAATATTTAATCGGATGTCATAAAGTTATTTACATAAAAGTATTAGGAATAAATTTAGCCCACCAATAGAGAAATGCTCCAATTATCATCACAGAGTAACCAAATTGATGATGTATTCCTTAGGTAGTAACCTGAAATTACAAGTTGCCATAGCCGTCAATCACAATAAGGGAGACCCTCTTTGACACAGTAAACCTAGTTTTGGCTTTTTACAGCAACTCAGATATCACATTGCTCTTGTTTAATTATCACGTCAGAAAAATAAAAAGACTTTTTAATTATACAGGCTTCATGAATCATTGCCTTCTTCGATTTGCTGTCTGGATCATTGGATTTGTATCTCTCAGAAATCACCATTTGAGCTATGATTACGGGTTCTCTTGCAGGTCGTATCAACTAGCTGCTCTTCTTTCTACTTGTAGGTCATTCATAAGTTATACTGTTTTCATACCGTCAGCCCTATTTTCTTTTTAAATATTTAATAGTTGGTGATTTATTTATTTAAGATTAGAAAATCAATAAAATTTCTGGTAAGGTGAAAAATAATCAACTCCCATATTAAGCATATTTTTAAATGTAGAGTCCTGAAAAAATAACTATCAATAGACACACAAGGCTATGCAATTTCCGGATTTCTTGTTCAATGGAAATGAAAAATATGGGAGCTTTCTTTCTTTTTTTTTTCTTTTTTTGGTAAAACCAAACTCTGTACTGTTATCCATATACTTATGATTGCTTACAAAATTTTGACTAAAATAAATTTCTGATGGTCTGTATACTAATGAGAACTTACAAAATTTTCATTAAAAGGCTCAGAGGAACGAAATGTAATAGATCCACACAACGATTCAACAAAGAGATATGACTTTTATGAGTATGAATGGAAGTACAGACACTTCAGGTTGATCATTATATACTGTGGTTGATATACTTCTAATGGCTTGCAAAACTATAGCTAACTTGGTATATACGTAATCCTTTTGAGTGGTAAAGGTTTTTATCATTCTCAACAACTACAAAATGTTTTATTGAATTTACATTCTCAAATTTTGGAGAATTTTGCTCACTCCTTATGCTAACTAACACCTCTTTTTTTTTTTTTTTTAATAGGAAAATAGAGATTTTAGTCTATTGCTTGAAATTGGTAAGCTACAATTTATTGATTATGTTATTTAACTCATGTTGAAGGGATTATTTCATTTTTTCGGTTGATTAAAAATTCATAACCAAAACATTAGTCCAAGACTCCAAAGTAATACTACAAGGTGTGAAAACTAATCAAAGATCCACCATTAAACAGAGAAAAATATGTGCCTTGCTCCATCGCTGCCTACATAATCCTTATAGCTTGAGGTTAACTTTCTGTTTCTATTCTCTTCAGTGATGGCAGCACAGGAAGGAAAAGAATCAGACGCATTTTCCATTTATGAGTCAAGGAAAGAAAAAATGCATCGACAAAAGATGGGAAAGAAACAGTGAGAGTTGCAAGATTCCTCAAACCCTTTGCTGATTGTAGTCTTGATCAACCTATCAAAACTCCGAACACTCCTTGACTCTCCGAAATTTTCTCCCCAAAACAGCAAGAAAGCTCAAGAATGGCGTTCAAGGATTACTATCAAAGGTTGGGCAAAAACCACGAGCAAATGGCTAGAATGGGTATCTAAGTTAGCAGCCAAACATGGAGAAATTTGGAAAAAAGGCAAAATCTTTGATGCAATCTTGTGTTCTAGATATAAAATAAGTTGTAACCCTAATTTAATATGAGGCTTAGTTCAATTTTGGTGTCCAGAGACTAATACTTTTGTTTTTCCCATGGGGAAAACTACAATCACCCTTGAAGATGTAACGATGATTGGTGGGTTTCCACTTACAGGAGAATCGATAAATATTCCTGTTAATGGAGATTTAATTAAGATAAAAGAAGCATTAGAGACTACAAGGAGTAAAACGTACAGTTCAAGACTAAGAAACTCTAATATTTCTGTTTGGAGGAAGATTTATATGGAGGAGAACAAGAAAGTGAATTAGAACATGCTGCATTTTTATCACTTATCAAGGTATGTGTTTCCTTCGCTTTCTAGGTTTATTGTTAGAAAAGAAACTATTCCTCTAGCAGTCAATTTGTCTCAAGGGAAAAGAATAGCTTGGTCCTGCTGTTCTTGCTATGTTATGAAATTTCCTGAAATTTTCCCGTAGCGCCCTTAGACTCACCATTTTGATCATTCTGGAGAGATAGTGTTTGACTCTTTGAGCAGTGCAAATGAAGAATTAGAGTCTTAAATTAAGTGCCTAGTAGTTTCAGAGCTTAAGGGTTTTGGTTGCATAGAGAAGTATTTGCCTCATCGTGTAGCTATGCAATTGGGAATTGACCCGGATATTCCAGCTATTCAATTTTCTTATATGGAGTTTGATCATTATAAAAAGATTAGGATCTTTGTTGCATCAGAATCCTATGAGCCTGGTGTTTCAGTTAGGTACTTGAATTGGTGGAAAAATGGAAACTTTCTAGAGAATGTGGGGTTGAGGATTATTTCGGGGAACGCAGAAATTTGAGCGGGAATCTTAAGTCGAATGAGAAAGAATCAGAAAATTCTGGTACAGAAGATCAAAAGGAGGGTATTGCTGCTGCTTCAAAAATCAAGAAAAGGGTTTAAGGAGATTTGAACAATGATGGTGAAGGTGATGGTGATCCTAACTATGAAATAAGTAGTAATCCGTACAGAAGATCAAAAGGAGGGTATTGCTGCTGCTTCAAAAATCAAGAAAAGGGTTTAAGGAGATTTGAACAATGATGGTGAAGGTGATGGTGATCCTAACTATGAAATAAGTAGTAATCCTGACAATAGTGGTGGTGGTGATGGTGATGGTGATGGTGATGATGATCCTAACTATGAAATAAGTAGTAATCCTGAAACTGAAGCAGATGCTCGTGAATGCGAACAATCTGAAAATATTGCAGAAGCTGCTAATTTTCATAATTTTGTCAAATTTTTCACTAGAAAAAGAAGCACTCGAAAACAAAATTTCCTGAAACTATAAAGGACGGGACTGGTCAGCCGGTGGTCGGAGAAGTACAAACTGAAGAAGAAGAAGAAGAAGAAGAAGAAGAAGAAGAAGGTCCTGGTGTATCAGATGGTAAAGGTAAAGAAGTGAAGATCGAGCCCAGTTAATTGAAGAACTGCAAATCAGGAACTAAGTTTGCTGCTAAAAAAGTTGGGAAAGGAACAGAAGATAATCCAATCGAAGTTGATGACTATGTGGAGACTCCTGCAAGTGAAGTAATTCAGAATCTTGGTTTAGAGGAAAGGATTGAGAAACTGTTGGAGTACGCTAGTCGCACGTCTGATAAATACAATTAATTAAAATAATATATAATGTGAAGGGTGAATTAATTATAATGAGTGCGATTATTTTGTGTTAAAGGTAAATTTAACTCATTATAAGTCCAATATTAAATACATAATTAAATTCCCGTGTCTCATATTTTCTGTATAAAATGCTAATCAGTTGTTTGATTGATATTTTCTGTATAAAATGCTAATCAGTTGTTTGGTGGTCGTTCTAGTTAGCATTTCCTGTTTTTTGGTCCATGGATTAATTAGCAACATTTTGTAAAATTGTGTTGTTAAAATGGAAATTAAGTTTGTTATTATGAATATGTTTTTTTATTTACAAAATGGCACAAATACGTGCTTCTAATTTTGTAAAGTTCACACCTTTTTTCTTTCATATACACACAAAATTTATGAATTTAAGAATATTTTTTAAATTAATAAAAATATTATCAGATCCTTTTGAAAAATAAATTAAGGAATTACGAATTAATTTCTGAAATCCGACTGATGTTACCATTAAAATGTTATCATGTCCTCTATTTATTTTACTAGATGTTATCCATCATGATTTAAGTAAAAAAAAAAAAAAAAAAAAAAAAAAATAAAAAAAAAAAAAACAATAGAATTCCTTTGGGGATTGATGATTTTTTTTTTTTGTTGACGAATAATTAATAATCTTTAAAAAGAATCTCATCATCATTATTATTATTATATCTGTTTTTTTTAAAAAAAAAATTATTATAATTTTCCTCTTTCAGAATTTTTATTTCACATTTTCTAATACATATCATACTCAAGCCCGGAGTCTTCTCTTAAAATCAGAATGACACGGGACCTCATTAGATGAGGGCTATAAATTGATAATCCTACCTATATTTGCTGTCTGTTGGGGCAAAAAAAAAAAAAAAAAAAAAAACAATAGAATTCCTTTGGGGATTGAGATTTTTTTTTTTTTGTTGCGAATAATTAAAATTTTAAAAGAATCATCATCATCATTATTATTATTATTATCTTTTTTTAAAAAAAAAATTATTTATAATTTTCTCTTTCAGAATTTTATTTCACATTTTCTAATATATATCATACCAAGCCCGGAGTCTTCTCTAATCAGATGACACGGACCTCATTAGATGGGGCTAAAATTGATAATCCTACCTATATTTTCTTTGGGCTTAATAATATTTTGTTGCCAAAACTGCCCTTTCTTATTTGACAAAGTAACAACTATGCCTTGTTATATAAATCGGCGTGTACGGTATTTCGGTTTTCTGTTTCCCTTTCACTTGATACTGTTAAAACCCTAGCAGATCTTTCACTTGTAAGTCTATTTTTCTTATAATCTCTGATTTTCCAATCAATTATTTGCATAATTTGTATCTTAAATCTACAATTGTATTTCTCTCTTTAAAGTTCGATTTTTTTTTTCTCTTGATTGGTAATTTGGATTTTGTTTGTCTGGTTATGGCGTATCTACAAATGGCTTGTTTAATTCTTTGGCGAAATCAACCTTCTTGCAACAGATGTAGTGTATAACGGCGTTTGATAGGAATTGTTTTTCTTTTTCACTTTCAAATTCTTTAGAACACTCAAATAATATTAAAGTGCAGTAGAAGAATTAAACATATGAGACTGAATAGTGAGAAAGAATTAAAATGTGATGTTGTTTTAGTTTCCATGTAAAACTTACTATAACTCTTGTTGTTTGGTTAATTGTTTTAAGGGGAAAACTGTGCAAGATGTCTGTGTATGAGGAGAATCGTTGCATAAAAGATAATCAGAGGAGATTGCTTGCTTCGAAATTTGAATTGAAAAGAAATCTTTATAAAGCCCTTGTTAGAGATCCTGAGCTTCCTACTGAAATGCGTGAGAAATTCCATCAGAAGCTGTCAAAGTTGCCAAGAAATAGTTCTTTTACACGTGTGAGGAATCGATGTATTTTCACTGGTCGTTCTCGTGCTGTTTATGAGTTCTTCCGAATGTCTCGTATTGTTTTCCGTGAATTGGCATCGAAGGGTATGCTCAATGGTGTTAAGAAAGCATCTTGGTAACTAAATCAGTGGAACATTTGTAGGTGGTGCTCTAGAAGGATCGAACGGAGTATTCATTATCATCAATTTTACATATCTTATCAAAACTTAATGTATTTTAAAGTTTTCACCTGCGATAATGTTGATACTTCTATTGTAGAATAAAGGGGTCTATCTTTGCAAAGAAGTTTTTATATATTGATTAATGGAATTTGATATCATTTTATTCGTAGTCTTCCACTTGCTATCCAATGGAGTTGTATACTGTTCGTGCATTGTTTACTATCTTTTCTTTGGTTTTCTTTTATGTTGTATATATGAGCCATGCATTTTTGATTCAGTTATGTTGCATCGATGATCATTAATGTCAGTTGATGATTTTTTCAATAGCAGTTCAGTTAACTAAAAGATGGATAGTTTAGTAGTATCTACCGTTAATTGCACTTCTTCTAGCTGTCTGCCAAGAAAGAATTAAATTTAGCTTTTATAATTGAATGTTACTTTCTAAGTATTTGAGGTTTTGTAAAACCATTGCCTGGTGCCAATTGTTTTGCTTCATATACTGTCACACAAATATTGAAGACTAGTAAGTAGGTAAAATAGAAATTATTATGTGCAGCTGGGAGTGATTACTGGTGAGTTGCAGGAAGATTTTATATCTGATTTGATGAGGTTGTGGCTGTTATTTGAAGAAAAATGCTAAAAAGATTGTTGTCCAATGGGCATCTTGTTCGTTGGAAGTCTGACAGATTGCTTCTGCTACTCTGTAAACCATGAGTTATAGCATCTTCCCCTGCTAAAATATGAGATGGAATAATAATATTATTTCAGTTTTGGCATCACCAAATGCCAATTGATCCACTGTAAGTTTTCCATGCAGCCTCTGTGCTCTGGTTAGATTGAGTAAATTGATCAACCAAATATGGGAAGGTCCTTGATTTGTTATGCATTTTCGCTATCACCAGTTCCACTCTTGACAATGTAAATTCTTTCCACTGATGTTTCAAGTACGCAGCCTCATTGTTAATTTTAGATGAATGGCTTTGAGACTTGCCTGATAAAGCCTTCTCATTGCCACACTGCCCACTTTCAGAAACATTTTGCTTCTTACAAGAATTGAGCATTTGAGTGATTGTGAGGCCATTATTTTCCTCAATAGACCCTTGCTTCAATTCTATGATATTTCGGAGGAAATCCAGGAGGAGCAGGAAGATTGTCAATTTCAACCAGAGAATTTACATACTTGGAAGAACAATTGGGAAAACTAGAATGTCCATGTATGTTTAGTAGTTTTGAAGAAATTCTGCATAGGAGGGAAGTTTGCAAAGTCATGTGCTCGAGTTGGACTGACTCCCATAATAATCAGGTGAAAATACAAATATTACTTACCGCCTGAGTTTCAATTTGAGTACCTAATTTTACAGGCCTACCTTAAAGAGAGGAAATTCTTTGTAGGGAGAACTATAAGCGGGGTAGAAAGAATGGTAGGGCAGAGGGGTGAACCTGTTTAGTTGATTAAATTTAGACTCAATTGCACATTAAAAGTCACTCTTGGCCTATCATCAATTATTAATTAAAAATACATGTTTAACCTTTAAATATTACTGGGACAGCAAGTCATACTATTCATAGAACTTTGACAATTAGGATATTAGACAACTCATATTAAGCCAAATTCAGTTTGATTAAATTTCCAGTGTTCTATATAATTTTAATATACATAAAAATAATAGTTAAACATAAATAATTGATATAACTATTCTAATAAATAATTATTTTTTAATTATAATAACTAGTAGTACATATTGCATAATTACATTGCAAGATTAGAAGGAAGGAGATATTAGGATTCATTAGAAACAAAGTAAAATACTTTCTATAGTGCCACTATTATCTTGCACTGTTCTTGAACCAACTTTATTTATCAGTTCAAGCAGGCAGGCAGGCAGCCACAGTTATGTTTTTTTGAGAAAGCAGGCAACCATAGTTATGATGTAAGAGGAAATGTCATGAATTCCAGTGACTTCACTATGACTTCCTGCGGTCAGCATATACTCGTCAGAACATTACTGCTTTGCGCTCTGCCATTATCCTCTCAAGCCTCCTAATTCGAGCTTCGAGCTTCACTTCCAGTGCATCAAATGAATATCTACTGCATCCTTCTTCATTCTCAGTAATGTTGTCCGTTTTATGAGCCTGGCTGCCTGCCCTGCTATCATTAGCATATTCTGTTGTAACCTTTTCTGCTGATATTACTTGCTTCTCCAAATTTTTAGAAGTCTCATTGCCTTCACTTGATGATGAATGATTCTGAGATTGACCTAATTGACTGGATGCATTTTCACCATTGCCATTACAATTGCTATCATGTCTATTCTCAGCTGCTTCACTATGCTTCATCTTTTCCACTGATGTCACTGGTTCCAAAAAGTTCAGAGCCCCATTATCTGCTGTGGAAGATAGAGGACTCAGGGATTGAGCTCTTGCATTTTCGCAATCGCCACCCTTTCCATTCTCGACGGCTTCAGTGTTTAAATTCCTTTCCTCTGATGCTTCAAGTACTGAAGTTTTGGCAGCCTCATTGTTACTTTCAGATGAATGGCTTTGACATTTACCTGATAAACTCTTCTCGTTGCTACACTGCCCATGTTTAGAAAAATCATGCTTCTCACACAAATTGAGCATCTGAGTGATTGTCAGGTCATCATTTTCCTCACTAGGGCCACTTGCTTCAATACTACGACATTTCGGAGGAAATCCAGGAGGAACAGGAAGATTGTTAATTTCAGCCAGAGTCTTAGAAGCACAACTAGGAGAACCAGACTCTCCATACTCTTCATTGTTTCTCCTTGAACTATATATCGAGGTTTTTGATTGCTTTGCCGGACTGCCAAGGGCAACCGAGCTATCTACAACTTTCTTTCGTTTTAATATCTGAGGAAATATTTTAGAGCTGCTCGGTGGAGAACCATAGTTAACAAAGTCACTGCTGTCTTCCTTATTCTCTTTTGCTTTCTTCGGTGTTATCTTAAAACTTGAGATAAGAATTTCATTGTTCCCTGCTCTCTTTGAATCTTTTGGCGTTATTATAAAGCTTGAGATGAACTCATCTTTCTTCATTACTTCAGAAGTCTTTGTTGATGCTTTTAACCTCTTAACATTATTAGCCGCTTTCTTTTCTTCGAGACTTTTTGGTCTTGTTTTAAAACTACTAACAAAATTTTTTACCTGCTTCCCTTTTGACACTTCGGCAGTTTTTCTGAAACAAGTGGAACTCTTCCTCTGTTGCACAACACTTTTACTTGTGTCTTGTGGAGTCGATACAGAACGGTTCCACCATTCCAAGTAACGGGTGGTAACATCTGTCTCAACAAAACGAGAGGGAATGTAACATTTTACATCACTAATTCGTCTACTGTAACAACACCAAGCAACCTCAAGACTCTCATTAGATCGAGGAACAGAACCTGGAACATCTTGATCAATTCCAAACTGCCTCGCAACTCTATGTGGAAGATACTGTTCTGTGCATTCAATTCCAACTAGCTCAGATACCCTCAAACATCGAATAAATGACAGTAATTCTTCATCCAAATCCGAATTCATTGACACCCACATTTCCTGCTCCCTGTAAAACTTAGGTATGTCCCAATTCTCCACAATTTTCGTATAAGGGCGCCATTTGAAACTTTCTTTAGACGAGTCGTCTAAGTTCAACCTCACATTCTCATTGCCACACTGCCCACTTTTGCATTTTAGGTTGTTCCATATGGCTAATCTCGGCTCACCATTCTTGATCAAATTAGGCTTTGGTCTAAGTTTCACAAATCTCTCCCAAACCCAAACCAAAACTAACTGAAATGGAGAAAAAATTGTAACAGCCAAGTTTGATTTATTATCATCTTTGGCCTCACTACCCTTATCAGCAGCTAATGTAGTAAAAGAAACTATACATTCTTTCAATATGCTCAAATCTCTATAAATGCTAGCAAGAACAGCAGGTGCTAAAGCAAGCCTAGTACCTCTAGCCAAATGAACTGCAATTGGAAAAATGCATTCACAGATAACATCAAAAGAAGTAGACAAAACAAACCTTGATAACCACAAGGAAAGAAAAGCTTCATGCTCTATTTCACTACCACTATCCATGAATTTATTCAACCAAAGATACTGACATGCCTTCTTAGCACTGGTCCTCACTATCTCCACTCTTGCTTGGACCAATTTCTCTTTAACTCCCTTCAATTCCTCTGTTTCATTGGGGTTAAAAACAGGGGACCCTAAAACAGAGTACCCTGAAATTATCATATCCTCTAGTGTAATTGTGGCCTCACCCCAAGCAAAAATGAACGATTTCGTTTCAGGGCACCATCTTTCTGCAACCCCTAGAATTAAATCATTATTTAAATTATTTTTAAGGATTTGATAAGTAGAATTCAAGATTGCTTCATATATACCAGCTTTTTTCCAAGTGGGCTTATGGAAAGAAGCCATTTTTCTGACCCATGCAGACCATTTCCTTTGTGGATGTCTCCATCCATGAAAGTTAACACTCAAAGGCCAGTTCTGGGGATCAAAAGTGGGTGGTAGAGAAGGGAGAGAAAGTGAAGATCTTTCAAGGTTGGAAGTTATGGAGGGTTTTAGAAAATGGGCTTTTCTGAAAATGGGGTTTTCTTGACTTGCCGGTGAAATCATAAATTCTTCTCTTGATTCAACAATGGAATGTGATGATTCCTTCATTGTTGAAGTTAGAGCTTTTCACAAGTGGGTTTTTTTATGAAAGAGAAAAGGAAGGGAAGTGAAGGGTCTGAACTCTGAACTCTGAAAAGTGAAGTGTGTTTGTTGACCGGCTCGCTTTGGATGATGGGGACTGTTTAACTTTTAGTTTAACAATGAATTCTTCTCTCTACTCTCCAAAATCGGTTGGATTTTTTTTCGATACTATCCATGTTTGTATAAATATATAAAACGAGAGGCACATTCATGTACACTGTCGTGATATTAAAACATTAAATGACTGAAATGACAAAAAGTAATTTTAGAGTGTTAAATTAAAAAAAAATAATTTTTATATTATTTTTATTTAAATATTAATTGGGCTAATATTAACATTAATTCGATAATAATATTAAATATTTTTTAATTTTTTTCAATAATTAACTTAATAATTAATAATATCATTAATATTATTTACAAAATAAAAATTTCAATTTTTCTAATATAATAATATTAATGCTTTTATTTTTTTTAATAACTAAATATTACATCTATTCCATAATACTTGTTACAATTTAATAAAATTAGTTTGTTCAAAATACTTGTTACACTTGTAGTTTAAAAAAGTAATAAATTAATTTTTCATGTTTACTCTTTGTATACTAGCAGCAGTTATTAATTCAGTTTAATGGTTTTTATACTAGCAATAAAGTAGGATAACACAATCAATTTATTTAATAATTTATTGTAACTTAAATAAATTTAATAATTTTTTTTAAAAGATGCCAAATTCCAAATGTGTCTAAGTATTATGAAAAAGAGGTCGTAAGTAACTAACCATGTCATTAATACTGTTTTCAATAATAGAACTTTTCAGTTTTTTTCTAACAATATCATTAATATCGAATAGATTGAATATCCTTAATTTGTGTAAGTTCTAATATTGGTTATATATAAATGATAAAAATGAAAAAATAATTCATTATTTGTAAAATTCATAAATACGATAAGTATGTGGGAACAAACTATTTTGTTAAATGTAACATATATTTGGGAATGAAATGAATGTACAGTAGGCATTTATTAAATAAATAAGTCCAATGTAGAGAAATTGGCAATGGTATGGTTGTACATTCACAATGATGTACAAAGAGCATATGAAAGTTGGATACCAAATTTGAAGTTGACATATTGGAGATACTAACAAATTAATTACATGAGATTTTGCTAAAAAGAAAGCAAACAAGAAATTTCAAACGGACAGCAATATAAACAAATTAACAAGTAGAGAAGAGCTTTTTCAATTCAGCTGTGAAGAAACTTCCCTCATGGTTGGTCGAAATTGAGGATTGGTGATCAAGCAAGCAAATGCGAGTTTTATAGTATGCATCAATGCATCAGAAGCTCTATTTTGAGGAGTTGGGAGGCGTTGGTCAATCACACTGCCAAATAGAGTATGCTTGTCAATTGGCCATGACAATGATGATGATGAAATGAAATCGCCTGGATGTCTTCCCATTATTATTTCCAGTGTCACTACGCCGAAGCTATAGACATCGCATTTTTCATTGACAGCCATTGTATAAGCTAGCTCTGCAAAAAATGTATAGTAAGAGTTTATTATGATTCTTAAGTTTTTAAATACCAAACAAATTCAAGAATAGTTAAACCAGTTAGGTCATAAGGTATTTACCTGGAGCTGTATATCCAAATGTACCTGCCAATGAAGTCCAATTCGACGAATCAGGCATCAAATGCCTAGCTGTTCCAAAATCAGAGACATGAGCCTCAAAATCTAAATCCAATAGAACATTGTTACTAGAGATGTCTCGATGTATAATCGGAGGAGAGCAATCATGGTGCATATAAGCCAATGCATTAGCTATTCCTTTAATGACATTTATCCTCTTAAACCAACCTAATTCCACTGCTTGTTCGTCATGGGTTAAGACATTTCTCAAACTTCCTCTTTCAATAAATTCATAAACCAAAAATGAATGTTGGGCATGCGAACAAAAACCATATAACTTGACAATGTTTCGATGGCGAATGTTCATCAACACAGTAATCTCACTTGTAAATGCTTTGAAATCAATCATTTCTCCATTTTGTGATTGGTGAAGTTTTTTCACGGCAACAACTCGATTTGTTGGCAAAACAGCTTTGTAGACAATTCCATAACCTCCAGTCCCAATGCAATATTCAGAGTCGAACATGTTGGTAGCATTAACAATATTTTCATATTGAAGGTCCTTATCATTACTCCATATTGCACAAGTACCTCCACAATTTGGTTCATCTTTCTCCAAATCAAATTTTCTGCCTTTGATTCTTCCGCGAAGAACTAAGAATCCTCCGACAAAGAGAATAATTAGAACTGTAACGCCAACAACTGGAGCAATAATTAAACTATTAGCTTTACTGCCCTTTTTTCTATTAGCATTGTTAATTGCAGGAGAAGCACAAGCCTTTAGTCTAGAGTTCTCGCCACACAGGTCGCTATTGTTTCGAAGAGCTTCAAATGAAGCCTCCTGAAAGGGTTTAATGTGTGGAATTGGACCTTCTAACTCATTGTAGGATATATCCACCATTGTTAAGCCTGATAAATCATCAAAACTAGTTGGAATTGAGCCTGAAAGCATATTGCGAGAGAGATTCAATGTCTCCAATCTTTCCAACTCACCAAGTTGCGGTGGTATCTTTCCTGTTAATAAATTTTGACTAAGGTCAAGACTTTCCAGAGAATGTAACTTCCCAATCTCCAAAGGAATACTCCTTGTCAAACTGTTCTTGCTAAGATTCAAGAACAATAGTTTTGAGCAATCTTCAATCTGTTTAGGAATTGCTCCACTCAAATTGTTTGCTGCCAGACTAAGAGTTTCAAGATCAGATAACATTCCAATTTCTTCAGGTATTTCACCTGAAATATTGTTATCCTGAAGAGAAAGCTCTAACAACTTTAACTTGTTCAATTCCTTTGGAATTGTCCCCACAAGACGATTCATTGAGAGGTCAAGCCATTGCAATAATGGTGCATTTCCTATTGCAGATGGTATGAAGCCAGAAAGATTATTCTTCGAGATTTTCAGTGCTAACAAGCTGCTAAAATCTTCCCATTTCCACAAAAGCTCGCCAAAAATTTTGTTGCCGCTTAAATCCATATATTTCAAATTCGGATACACTCCAAAAACTTCAGATATATTTCCTGTTAGTTGGTTTTCCTCAATACGAAGCCTGACTAAACTGGTACAGTTTTTAAAGCTTCTTGGGATAGGCCCACTAAAATTATTTCCAGTAATTGCAAAAGCCTTAATCAACCCACCACTACATATATCTTCTGGTAAATGACCACTAAAACTATTGTTATACACAATGAAAACTTCCAAAAAGGTGAAGTTATTCATTTCTGATGGTAGATTACCAGAAAATTGATTATTTGCAAGAAATATTGAACTTAGTTGTGTCAACTGCCCGAATTGTCGAGGTATGGGATGTGAAAGTTGGTTATCAGAAAGATAAAGAGAGATTAAATTTGTCAAGTTTCCTATAGAAGTTGGGATTGAACCAGAAAGACTATTATTTGACAACGCAAGTACAGTAAGAGAATTCATCATCCCAATTTCTTGAGGTATAGAACCAGAAAGTTGGTTGCCATTAAAATAGAGTTCAGACAGATTGGTCAAGTTTCCCATAGAAGTTGGAATTTTACCACTTAAACTATTTACTGATAAATCAACCTGAATAAGGGATTTCATTAAACCAATTTCTTGAGGTATATATCCCGAAATTTCAGTCTCATGAATATAAAGAACAGGCAAATTTGTCAAGTTTGTAATAGAAGTTGGGATTGTACCAGTGAAAGGATTATTTGATAAATCGATATAAGTAAGAGACCCTAACATCCCAATTTCTTTAGGAATAGAACCAGAAATCTGATTAAGAGAAAAATCAAGAATATTTACTCTGGAAAGATTGCCAATCTGAGAAGGAATATTCCCATGGAATGAGTTGTTACTGACATTTTGTCAAGTTCGTAAGAGAAGTTGGGATTGTACCAGTGAAAGGATTAATTTGAAATAAATTCGATAATAAGTTAAGAGAATTATTTGATAAATCGATATAAGTAAGAGACCCTAACATCCCAATTTCTTTAGGAATAGAACCAGAAATCTGATTAAGAGAAAAATCAAGAATATTTACTCTGGAAAGATTGCCAATCTGAGAAGGAATATTCCCATGGAATGAGTTGTTACTGACATTAAGATGAAGAAGATTAGGAAATGAAGAGAAGCTTAGACTTTGAAGCGTACCTTTTAAACCAGTATCTCTAAGGCTTATATTGGTTACACTTCCTGCTTCATCACAGTGAATACCAAACCAAGAATTGCAAGAATTGGTTTTTGCAGTCCAAGAAGATAAAAAAGATTGGCTTTGATCATCAAGAGTGGCTTTCCATGTCAGAAGGGCATTTGTTTCACTTTCAATAGCAGCAAAAGCAGAAGGGACATGAAAAGAAAGCAGAAAGATGAGTAGAATTAGGAGGAAGAACAGTTGGTAAAAGATTGTGGGGCAGGCCATGGCTAAGATCACTTAATTACGGGCGGAGTATTACTGAATTACGTCCATATATTAAGAGATTCACTATGCATCGAGGGATAAATAAAAAATTTTAAGGGGTTAAAGTGAAAAGAATAAAAAATTCTTACCAAATTACGCGTTGATTTGGAAATTTTTCTTTGTGACCGAAGTCACGCGTGATAATAAGCTCTAACGACATTCAACTGAGGGGGTATTTGTACCCGAATCCATTACAGGGTGGTAGGTAGAGAATACCTAAGAGCGCGAGATAATTCTCTAAAAATTCGATAATATAGTCCTATTAATAAATATATATAATAACAAATGTCAGGGGAACTCCACTTAAACCTACTTTTGAGAGTGGAGATCACTTTGGCATCAAATTAACATTACAAAACTACTAATTGGTCAGTTTACATTGACTAAAGTAATTTTTTTTATTTACAAGAAGGTTTAGTGGACTGAAATAACATGATTGGCTACACAATAGGGGATAACTTTTTCTTGAGTCACTGTATTAGTGATAACTCTTGTGATCGAGATGATGCGAACTCGAGATATTACTTTCTTCGCACTGTTGAAAAAATAATATAACTAGATCACACACGGTTGACAATTGAAGTAATTTTATCGCCTTATTATTGCATTTTTGAACTAAAATCTTAAATTACAAAATGCTAAGAATTGTGTCATTATTGTAAAATTTTTTATTTTGAGTATTAAAATTGTAAAAAAATAAAAAAAAGTAAAGATATTATCCCTTTTTAGATTCCCTTTTAGACTAAGAAAACATACTTTAGACTAAGAAAACACACTTTTTATAAATTCAATTCAAAATGACTAAAAATATGATGTTTAATTTAATATTTATCAGAGGAAACTTTATTTATCAAAGTCATTTAAGTGCTTGACTATCAATTTCAAAGTCATTAAATGCTTGACTATCAATTTCAAAGTCATTAAGTGATAAACTTTCAAATTCTTAACCCAACACCATTTACAAGTCTGCCTTTAAATAAAAGCTCAAACTACAAAAATATCATAAACTTTGCAATTCGTTGCAAAATCAATTTTTATATCTCCGACGCCCCTTTTTTGAAACTTAGATATTGACACTCCAAATTCAAGTGACATAGAGTTTTAAATAAAATTATATTAGTAGAACCCATTAGTTATCCTTGGATTAGCTTAACCTAAGGAACTATAACGCAACATTTTGTAAACAATTAAAACATTTTGTCTCCTAAAACCATCAATCTCTAAACAACTAATTGATAAAATTGATTTGAGTACTTGAGTAGTTGACATAGTTGTAGAAGCTATGGAAAGAAAGCTATGGTTGCATGGCTTGCTTAGAGAAGAAGAGAAACTGCAAATTGGTAATAAGAAAAAGACATTAATTTTTATTTTTGATTGCAAGCTCCTTTTCAAGATTCAACAATACATTACAAACAAAATAAAAAAAAAAAAAAGAAATATTCAGAGAGAGACCAAATCTCAAAAATAACAATTATAAAAAGAAAGGAATAAGACTAAAAATTCATAAAAATTAAAAAAAAAAAAAAAAGAGATAGAGCAAGAGAAAGTTGCATTTTAGTTCCTTGGTTAAATTAATCCAAAGATAATTAATGGGTCTTACTAATATAATATGTTATTTAAAAGTCTGTCACTTTTGAATTTGGGTGCCTATATATTTCAATTTCAAGATTGAGGTGGCTGATATACGAAAGTTAAAGCAGAGTAATTTTGCAACAAGTCATAAGTTTACAGTATTTTTATAGTTTAAGCCTTAAATAAAAAGTTCTAAGTGGACATGAAATCATAATTTTAAGAATGGTTATTGAATTCGACTTGGTTTGGATGGCCAATTGGGAAACCATTAAATTATATTTAAAATCGGATCAATATTACTTTTGATTTATTTAAAAAAAAAGAATCGAATTAAATGAGTGAATCGTAGTCAAACCAATTAATCTTCATCGATCCAATTGACTCAAACCTACTCTTTGATTTTTTAATTATTTATAATCATATTATAATTATTTTTATATATTAATATTTGTATGACTTTCTAATTGAACCATCGACTGCAGATTAAAACAACAATCATCCATGAGATTCTTTAACCGGACCGTATTTTAAGTTATTATCAAGAAACTATTCAAGGGTGCAGCAGATATATGTATAATTAAAAGAAAAAAGAAAAACATAAAATGGTAGACCATAAAAATGCAGAGAGAGTTTGCTTGGTAGAAAAATAACGGGTAAGATTAGATGAGCCCGTATACTTAAATTCAGTAAGGAGAAAAATTGATGAGACAGCCTCCATTTGATACAATTTTCCACGTAGTTTAAGCGCATATATAATTAAGAGTTTTGTCAAATGGCCAAGTTAAGCCTAACACAACTTTCACTGTGGCCAGCTAAAATGTCTAAAATGCTTTCAAGAGTGGAATTTTCCCCGCAATACACACACGACATTTTAGACAGACCAAATATATTTTTTTTGTATACTTAAATGGTACCAAATATCCACATCAACATCTGAACTCCAAATTCATGTTGGTATTACAAAACTTATTCAACAGAATGTGAAACATTTTCCAAACCTAATTAACGAGGAATCCAAACAATTGTATCACTATTGAGTATGTGACAAATTGGAGGTCCTCCTGGCGAGGTCCTCCTGGCTTGACATTAAGAACTTGAAAGGCAAAGTGATTAGGGTTCCAAGCTGAGATTTGTGTGGGCAAATAACAATTTGTTCAGCTCACAGACCAATCAAACCCACCAAGTGGAACTGATATACCTTTTCGAGCTAAAGACATGGCAATAAAATATCTGCATAATTTATATTCCAACATGGCACACTATGGGATTTGGTCTTCCTATCATTTGACTCCCTCAAAAACGTATACTCTTGAATTATTCTCTCTCTCCTCGCAAAATGTCTTAACTTCTTTTCCGAGCTTTACAACGATAAAATCAACCAGCGATTCTAAAGATGTCGCACAATATTTATCTTCTCCGCTGAACTTTGGTGCCTCACATTCTTCAATTGTTTGCTTCATGATCTGAGCTTCTTTCGAAGAAGATTTTATCGAGAAATAGTTCAGAATTTTCGATAACTTGTGACTCGAAAAGGGTATAGTTTTTGCAATTTTGAGTGGCAAGAAATTGGTTCCATTTGTAGATTTAGTAAAAGCAAGTCTCATCTTTCTGTTAGGACGAAGATCATCGTATAGAAAGAATATTGTTGTATTAGCTGTGATATTTTTATTAATTTTTCCATCCTCAGACCAATAACCAGTTCCGTAATCTACCCTTTGTGGCTTTATCTTTGGAGAATATTTCTCCTGATATGAAAAAGCGGTGTCGTTTCCTGCATTTTCTTGCAATATGCAGATCATCAAGATTGCCATGAATATCAGTTAAAAAGAAGGCCTAATTTCATTAAACTCAATTAACAATTTCATTATTAAAATTTATATAATAATGGAAGGAAAAATTATCATACATTCAAATTTAAATTTTAATAAAACCAGAATTTGAAAAACAATTACATTGAACCGAAAATATTAATAATGATTATTTTTTAATCTGTGTTAAATTACTTATTTAAATTATTTATTTCAATATTTCATAATGATTTAGCTTTACTCACAATTATTATATCATCTCTTATTCAATTAATCTTTACACTATTAATAAAAATTATAGTTATAACTAATAACTTTATTCAATAAGTTAATATATTCTCATTTTTTTATATGGTTCAAAAATTTATTTATTAATGTTGAAATTTATTGAAAGTCACTATAATATTATTATTAATTAGTATAAGAATAATTATTATTATATTTTACTTTTTTTCTTTAAAAAAAAACTTTTTTACTATTTGTTTTATTCAAAATGTGACAATATAATAGTTACTTTTGCCTCACTAATATAAATTAATCAAAAAAGAAAATTTAAAAAAAAAAATTAAGTTTCTAACCAGGCTTTAAAAGATCTTGCAGAGCTTTCGGAATTGGAGTGTTTGGTAACATGGTCTTCCAATACAGTTCTGCAGGTAGGGAAGCATTACTTCCTTTTAGAAGAAACTGCCATGATGATGATAATAAGAGTTATATTTGTCAAAAACATAAAAGAAAATTAAAGAAGAATCGACTATAAAAATTGAATGCTTACACAAAATAAAGCAATAAAGATAAGATAATCCATATAACCAAACAGAACTGATATAGTTTTATGTATGTGGAAGTTACTGATAGGCTTATACAAACTGAAGCTATATATAGGAAAAGCTTCAGGTGCTCAAGTATGGAAGTTACTTAAAAGTCCAATCTCTTTCCCTAATTTTCTCATCGCCATCATCTATCAATTTGTTTTCTTTTTTTTTTTTTTTTTTAAACAAAAAAGTTAAAAGTTAATGCTCACTTTCCGGTGCTTTCTTTCTGTCCATTGAGTGGAGTTAACTTTAGAGATACGTTTTCCATTGTTACTGAAAATTAATATAGCTCAGGGAAAATTATTACTTTGTTTTGGTAATGTTGGGCAACAGTTTTTCAAATAATTTTTAATATTATTTTTTATAGTTTTCATTAATATAGCATTTGAATTAGTTTTTATAGATTAAAGTAATGTTTTTTGAAAAATTAATCCATAAAGTTTGGCTTTTAGCTTTTCATCAAAAGCTATTCAAACAGTTAACAACTGCCAAAACAGCTAATTTTACCAAACAAGCTCTACATCTTGCCATGATATATAATATTGTCTATGCATTTTTAGAAATATACAGCTTTATCTATGTTTTTGCTTATGTTATAATGTTATATCTTTCAGTCAAATTTTTATACTTTTTCATCAAAAATTTATTATTTAAATCTTTGTATTTGTCAAAATTAGTTAATTGTCTCTGGATTTATTGAATATTTTTGTCCTTATAATTTATCAAAATAATTAATTTATCCTTGTATTTAATGAAAAAGTACAAGAAATCGACAGAAATTTATAAAAGTATAAAAGTATAATGAAGCAAAAGATAAAGACAAAATTATGTATTTCTAAAAAAATATAAAGACAAAGTGCTGTATTTTGATAAAATACAACGGCAAAATAGTAATTTTTTCTCATCTTTTATATATTATCTCTTTCTTATATTTCTCCACTATAGCAAAAATTCAGCCACCCACCATAACTTGTAGATTCATTAGAACAGTAGTGTATCAGACATGCTTAACCATTTTAAAGAGAGAGAGATAGGTATGAGAGAAAAAGAGGAAAAGTGAGAATTTTAGATGAACATATTTATATAGTTTTATTTTAAACTATATGAAGTCTTTGCCAATCAGGTATGATCTGATTGGTTTTTCTACATCTCGTAGAAAATATAGGGAGTGAGATATCTCAAGTTCGAGTCATTTTCATCATAAAGGTTAGGATTACTCGTTACTCCTATTGTGTAGCTTATAATGTTATTCTAATTCATTACACCTCCCATATATACCAAAAAAAAAAAAAAAGAAAATTACATGGAGCCTTTCTTGTTTTTCACACGAAAGTAGAAAATGTAATGTGGTTCTAATGCTACGCGTTAAGAAAGAATGTGCTACTAAGTCCAAGTTTATGTTTCAAAATCGACTTTTATTAATTAACTATCAATCAAATTTGTAATTAACACACACTTCTGTTATTAATCAATCGAGTTTCTGCGCTCACTCTCAAATGTTTAAAGAGACTCCATATTCCCTAGGGTTCAAATTCAAAATCTCTGATAAAAAAAGAAAGTATCTTCGCTATCCCATCTCATTGCTCGAGTATTACTCCATAGTCTTTTTCATAAGGTAAGACCAAAGTAAACGCATATAAAGATTTTTCCCTCCTTAATTACTGTTTACTTTTGAATATTGGAAAAAGGGAATTGATTTGTGGGTGACACTTTTTCTCTCCTCACCTAATCCATGTATTAGCTGAAAACGATATATGTGTTGATCCAGATTTTGAATTTGTAGCAAAATGACAAATATATTATTTCGATCAAACTCAGATTTGTTTCTTTCTTATTGGTACTCCCATTTTCCATTTTCCATTTTTCACTCTCATTGGGACATTTTTAAGTGAAAAAAAAAAAGATTTTGTTTGTTTATTTTTCTAATTATGTGACATGACATTAATTCTTTGCCATTTCTTTTATAATTATTTTTCATTTTTTTTTCAATCATATACATATAGAATTGATGTTTTATAAATTTGAAAATTATGTACCATAATATAAATTATTATACATCTATAATTTTAACCCACATTTAAGATTATAAACAATCATTACTTTATAGTTATGTTTGAATAATTATTCTACATATGTAAGGCTAAAGCCATCCAATTACATGAGATCTGTCCATTCATATTATATTTAAAAGTAATTATTAATAATAAATAATTGTATATTCCCACCGCCTATTCCACGTTATACCTTTAATTCATTTCTAATACATAATTTCTCTCATTTGATATTTTTGTTCATACATGCAAAACTAACAAATACAATGAAAAACCGACCAAGTATGAGTTCACCTATATACTAAACTAATTATAAATAATATTTTTTTTCTAAACGAGAGTATTTTTTATCATATACTAAGAAAAAAAAACAAAATGATATCATTTTTAAAAAAGAACTTTTTTATTGATATGGTATATGGAACTAACCATACACTCGAGCGTAGGCTTAATTATAAAAAGAAACGAACGAGACTAACGATTCAAAAAAATTAAAAAAAAAAAAAGAGATAGAGCAATAGAAACATCGCGTTTTAGTTCTTTGGGTTAAGTTAATCCAAAGATAACTAATGAGTCTTACTAATATAATATATTATTTAAAAGTCTGTTACTTTTGAATTTGTAGTGTCGATATATCTAAATTTCAAGATTGTGGTGCCTGAGTTATAAAAGTCAAAGCAGAGTGATTTTGCAACAAGTTATAAAGTTCAGGGTATTTTTATAGTTTAAGCCCTAAATAAAAAGTTTTAAGTGGACATGAAATCATAATTTTAAGAATGGTTATTGAAACCGAATTGGTTTGGATGGCCAATTCGGAAACCATTAAATTAGATTTAAAATCGAATCAATATTTCTTTTGAATGATTTAAAAAAGAGAATCGAATTAAACGAGTGAATGGTAGTCGAACCAATTGATCTGCATTGATCTGATCGACTCAAACCTACTCTTTGATTTTTTAATTATCTATAATCATATTATAATTATTTATATATATATTTTTTAATTATCTATAATCATATTATAATTTTTATATATATATATATTATATATATAATTAATATTTTTTATGAATTTCTAATTGGAACCATGGACGCGCAGATTAAAATAACAATCATCCACGAGATTCTTTTTAATCGGACCGTATTTTAAGTTATCATCAAGAAACTATTTAAGTGGTGCGCGCCCCACGTTAAAACACACACACATATATAATAATATATATATAATTTAAAAGAAAAAAGTAAAAACATAAAATGTTAGACCATAAATGCAGAGAGGTTTGGTTTGGTAGAAAATGTAATGGGTAAAGATTAGATGAGCTCGTATCCTTAATTCAGTAAGGGAGAAAAAATGATGAGACAGCCTCCATTAGATACAATTTTTCCACATAGTTTAAGCGCATACATAATTAAGAGTTTTGCAAATGGCCAATTAAGCCTAAACAACTTTCACTTGGCCAGCTAATGTCCTAAAATGGCTTTTCAACAGTAGATTTTTCCCCGCAATACCACGCATGACATTTTAGACAGACCAAATATATTTTTTTTGTATACTTAAAATGATACCCAAATATGCCACATCAACATCTGATCTCCAAATTCATGTTGGGTATTACAAAACTTATTCAAACAGAATGAGAAACATTTTCCAACACCTAATTAACGAGGAATCCAAAACAATTTGGTATCACTATTAAGTATGTGACAATTGGAGTCCTCCTGGTTTGACATTAAGAACTTGGGAAGGGCAAAGTGATTAGGGTTCCAAGCTGAGGTATTTTGTGGTGGCAAATAACAATTGGCTTCAAGCTTTCAGAAGCCATCAAACCCACAAGTGGAATGAATAACCCTTTGTCGAGCTAATACTATGGCAATAAAATACTGCATATTTTATATTCCAACTTAATGGCACACTATTGGATTGTCTCTATCATTTTTGACTCCCTTCAAAACTTGTATAACTCTTGAATTTTATTCTTCCTCTTCTTCTTCGTTAAAAATGTCCTTAACTTCTTTTCCGAGCTTTGCAACGATAAATCAACCAGCGATTCTAAGATGTCCCGCACAATCATTTAATCTTCTCCGCTAAACTTTGGGTGCCCTCACCATTCTTCAACTTGTTTGCTTCATGATCTGAGCTTCTTTCGAGAAGATTTTATCGAGACAATAGTTCAGAATTTTCCGGCTTCTTTCGAAGAAGATTTTATCGAGAAATAGTTCAGAATTTTCGATAACTTGCGACTCGAAAAGGGTATAGTTTTTGCAATTTTGATTGGCAAGAAATTGGTTCCATTTGTAGATTTAGTAAAAGCAAGTCTCATCTTTCTGTTAGGACGAAGATCATCGTATAAAAAGTATATTGTTGTATTAGCTGTGATATTTTTATTAATTTTTCTATCCTCAGGCCAATAACCAATTCTGTAATCTGCCCTTGGCACTAACCTTGAATCATTCTCCTGATATGAAAAAGCGGTGTCGTTTCCTGCATTTTCTTGCAATATGCAGATCATCAAGCTTGCCATGATTATCAGTTAAAAAGAATGCCTAATTTCATTAAACTCAATTAACAATTTCATTATTAAAATTTATATAATAATGGAATGAAAAATTATCATACATTCAAATTTAAATTTTAATAAAACCAGAATTTGAAAAACAATTACATTGAACCGAAAATATTAATAATGATTTTTTTTTTTAATCTGTGTTAAATTACTTAATTAAATTATTTATTTCAATATTTCATAATGATTTAGCTTACTCACAATTATTATATCACCTCTTATTCAATTAATCTTTACACTATTAATAAAAATTATAGTTATAACTTATAACTTTATTCAACAAGTTAATATATTCTCATTTTTTATATGGTTCAAAAATGTATATATTAATGTTGAAATTTATTGAAAGTCACTATAATATTATTAATTAGTATAGTAATAATTATCATTACATTTTACTTTTTTTCTGAAAAAAAAAAACTTTTTTACTACTTGTTTTATTCAAAATGTGATAATATAATAGTTACTTTTGCCTCACTAATATAAATTAATCAAAAAAGAAAATTAAAAAAAAAAAAAATTAAGTTGCTAACCAGGCTTTAAAAGATCTTGCAGAGCTTTCGGAATTGGAGTGTTTGGTAACATGGTCTTCCAATACACTTCTGCAGGTAGGGAAGCATTACTTCCTTTTAGAAGAAACTGCCATGAGGATG